GAGGTGTGAGGGCCCGTGTCTACTGCTGCTTCCCTCCCAAGAGCCCTGGGTGGAGGAGCGGCCACTTTGGAGCCAGAAATTGGGGAGACAGGTCTGCTGTCTTCTTTGTAGCAGGTGACGGGGTGGGGGGTGGCATCCCAGCTGAGGTGCACATCAAGCCACACGGGGTCCTGGGATCCTGTTTTGAAGAATGGGCTTGAGCTGGGCCAAAGCACCAGGGGTGCAGCAGGGAACCATGAGAGTGGCCTTTGGTGTGACACCCCCTCCCCACCCACACACAGGGCTGCCATCCCCAGGTTTGTCCAGCAGAAGCTCTACCTCTTCCTGCAGCATTGCTTTGGCCACTGGCCCCTGGATGCATTCTTCAGAGCCTTGACTGTTTGTTCCTTGCACCTCTGTGCCTTGAGCATGGTCCTGTGGGCAGGCGGGAGACTCTAAGGAGAACAAGGGGCTCCCAGGCCTCTGCTGTTGTGAGGGGTACAGGAAGAGTTCTGGACCGCCCCTCCCCCATTCCTCTGTGGTCAAGTGAAAGCCCTGCGGGTGGGCACCCACACCTGGGAGCCAGACTTTGGGTCAGACCCCTTTGCTGACTGGGCCTGCCTGGAACACCGCTGTCCCCCAGGTGCTGGAGATGTGGCTGCCTGGAACACCGCTGTCCCCCCAGGTGCTGGAGATGTGGCTGAGTTACCTGCAGCCATGGCGGTACGCCCCTGAGAAGCTGGTTCAGAGCAGCGACAGCCAGCCCCGGAGGGTGTCCGAGAGATGGTGAGCCTGTGCCCTGTCCTCTGGGGACCCTGTTCACAGTAGGTGGCCGTCTGCCCTTGTCCAGGTCTGTCACCATGTTTCCAACCCTTGGCTTTGACGCCCAAACCACCCCACAGCTCTACCTCCTAGGTGTGTGCCGGCCACTGCCCCTTCGTCACCTCACACCAATCTGGGCTCCCCACTGGGGCCTGGGCAGCCCCTGCGCGTTGGAGGCTTTGGAGTACTTAGTTGTCCTCAGGGGCTCGGTCTCCCCACCTCTGTCCTGCCTCTCTGCCCACCCCAGACCTCCTTCACCACCATTCCACTCTTTCCTCTCTCATGAGTGGGTGCCTGGCAATACCAGGGCACCATGCGGGGGAGGGGTATATCTGTGGGTCCCTGACACCACGCCCCACCCCCAGGGCACCCTTTGTGCAGGAGAACCTACTCATGGACACTAAGCTCTTTGTGGGCTTCCTGGGCTGCTCGCTCCGCACTGACCTGCTCAGCCCCAAGAACGCGCTCATGGTGTTCCGCGTGGCCAAAGTATTTGCCCAGCCCAACCTGGCTGAGATGATCCAGAAAGGTGAGCCCTCAACCGCAGGAGACGGTGGTCTGGGTGGGCCTCCCACAGGGCCCCGCATTCCTTGCACGGGTTGGGGAGTGTGCTGGGAGACTCGTGGTCACCACAACACCATAGGGCTGAGCGCCAGTGCCCTGCATCCCCTTGGCATAGCAGGCAAGGCTGCACTGTGCCTGCAGGGGCCGGCCGAGCCCTGGGCTGCACCTGGGGATTTACAGCCATGCGAGCGCCCTAGACCCTGAAGTGCCTCTGTCTTGACAAGCTCAGTGGGTGTTAGTTTCTCCTATGCCCCCTTCATGTGTTCCTCTTCTTTCTGGGATTGGCAGGGTCTCCTCTGGAGCTGGACACCTACCCTGTGCAGCCTGGGCCTTTGGGGACCTTGAGAGACAAATGATGTTTGTAACCCTTGGCAGCCGAAGCCAGACTCGTATCTGCCCTAGGTGAGCAGCTGTTTCTGGAGCCCGAGTTCGTCATCCCACACCGCCAGCACCGGCTCTTCACAGCGCCCACATTCACCGGGAGCTTCCTTTCATCGTGGCCCCCAACTGTCACTGACACCTCCTTCCAGGTGAAGAACCACGTCTACAGCCTGGAAGGCCAGGACTGCAAGTACACCCCAATGTTTGGGCCGGAGGTCCGGACGCTGGTGAGTGATCCAGACTCCATGGGACATTGAGCTAGGGAGACGTTTGGAGAAGGGCAGTACCCTTGCCTTTTTTATTAAACTACTTTAAAGGTCAGCATTTGATAGAAATTGTTCACATTTGGGGCTGTAGTACAGCAGGTAGACACTTGACTTGCGAGGGACTGACCCAGTTCGATTTGATCCCGGCATTCCATATGACCCCCCAAGACTTGCCAGGAGTGATCCCTGAGTGCAGAACGAGGCATAAGCCCTAGCACCACCAGGTGTGGCCCCCAAAGAAGATAAAACAAAGAGTTATTACAGAATGTTGCTCCTTAAAATTCATTGTCGAGGCTAGTGCGATTGTCCAGGGTTAAGGTGCTTGTCTTGCTTGTGGCTGACCTCATTTGAACACCCAAGCCCATGGTCCCCACCAAGAGTGACCCCTGAACACGGTACCCAAAATAAGCACCAAGTACTGCCAGGTGTGACCGCCAAACCAACAATGCAATAGCAGGGGTCTGGAGCTGGAGAGAGGAGTTCACACTGCACGCTGAAGGCCCAGGTTTGGTCGCCGGCACCACATGATCCCCTGAACACCACCAGAGCCAACTCCAGTGTGGCTCAATGTGACCTCTCCGGCCCTGGGTTCTCCCCTAGCGTCCCGTTACTGTGTTGGTGGCTGGTTACTGGGAGGCGACCCCCACCCCCAGCTCGTGACCCCCCCTGTCTGCCTTGCAGGTCTTACGCCTGGCTCAGCTCATCACACGGGCCAAGCAGACAGCCAAGTCCATGTCTGACCAGTGCGGAGAGTGCCACAGCAGCCACCCCTTCCTGGCCTGGCTGGGCTTGTTCTCCACCGATACCAATGGCTCCTGCCCCGCCAACGACCTGGACGAGATGGGGCAGGACAGCATCCGCAAGACGGACGAGTACCTGGAGAAGGCCCTGGAGTACCTGTGCCAGATGTTCCGAGTACACAGGGGGGCTCTCCCTTCCCCAGGGTTCTGTCCCCCGCCAGCCCTCCCAGCTCTTCTGCGGGAGACACGCCGTCCCTGCAGCACAAGTGGTTTCCTTGTGGCCCTTGTTTGGATGGTGGGTCAGCCCAGCCCCCTCTCTGCACCCTGGGTCTGACATGGTCTATCCTGACAGCTCAGCGAGGCCCAGCTGGCACAGCTCCCCCTGGCCCTGGGAACAGCTCAGGGTGAGAATGGGAAGAAGCAGCTCCCAGACTGCATTGTGGGTGAAGACGGCCTCATCCTTACGCCGCTGGGCCGCTACCAGGTCAGAGGCCCTGTCCCAGGTGGCCTCCCCCTCAGCCAGAGCGAGCACAGGTGCGCTTCCTGGGCGGTCTCTGGGGTGGGGCTCGCCTGCATTTATTTGCCTCGTCCCAGATCATCAACGGGCAGCGCCGGTTTGACATCGAATACCAGGGGGACTCGGAGCTGCAGCCCATCCGCAGCTATGAGATTGCCGGGCTGGTCCGCGTGCTCTTCCGCCTGTCCTCGGCCATCAACCACAGGGTGAGTGTGCGGGCAGGCAGGCAGGCGGGCGCCCCCTCCGCCCTCCACCTGGATGAGGACACCAGCCCACACTCTGTGCTTCAGTTTGCAGGCCAGATGGCAGCCCTGTGTTCGCGAGCAGACTTTCTCGCCAGATTCTTCCGCTACCACCTGATGGAGCCTGGGCTGGCCGAGAAGCACCTCTGAGCCTCGTGGAGAGGGCCGGCGTGACCAGCCGCGTCCGGGGCCCCAGGCTGTGTCTGTGCTTCTTGGGGAGCTGCCGCACGCTCCTGTCCCTGCTGCTGACCTTCTTCGTCGCTTCTCTGTTCTGTGTCGGGCCCCTGCCCTGCACCGTCATCCTGCTGCTGGGGTACCTCCTCTCTGCCATGGCCATGACCCTGCTGACCGAGCGAGGCAAGCTGCACCATCTGTAACCACATGCGGGATGGCACGAGGCCCACCTGGGCATGGGCGGTGCCCTGGCCTGAGCTGGCCCACCTGGCTCTTGTAGGCGGGTACTCCTTGATGCCGAGGCACTGCCCAGGAGGTGGCAAAGCGAGGACGACGTGCAGTCCCAAGGAACGGCGGTGAAGAGTGCAGGCATCCCACCAAGGCCATGACCCTGACCCTGCGCTGGGGGGCCCGGGCTGAGGGGGCTTTCGAGGCCTTTCTCTCCAGCACTGCTTTCGGATTTCTCCATGGGAGCCCCAAATATGGGTGGGCCACGCCTTCCCCCTCTGTTCCCCTTCTCAGCTTTGCCGTGGATGTGTCTCCTCTCCCTGGCTGGGCCCCCTTCCAGGGAAGGATCAGAGACCCTGGGAGAATCCTGAGTCTTTAATCGGGTTCTCTGATTCCTACCTGTAAACAAAGTTTTGCGAACACCTTTGACGAAGCAAGCAAGGGTTGTGCTTTTGCAGTAATTGCAGCCCCGGGTTGGATGCCTGCCTTTGAGAACAGATCTCCCGGAGCACAGAGGCTAATTAGGAACGTCTGTCCTTGCACGTGGGTCAGGGCGCTTCTCTCCAGTGCAGGGACTCTGCTGGCTCCCTCGGGTCACATGTCACCCAGCACCTGTTCTAAACCAAAGATGGCCAAAAGCATTTCTTGTTATCTTCAATAAAAGCAAGTGCTAGGAAGCAGTCACCTCTTCATAGTCTGCAGATACTCGGACAGCACAGCCCCCAATCCCACAGGGTCTTGAAACCTTCCTCTAGCAAGTGATGGACCACAAGGAAAACTCTTTGTGATTTAAAAAAAACAACAAAAAAAAAACCCTTTGGTGTGGTTTCCATGGAATATTTTTTTTTAGGGCTAAATTTTAATAAAAGGTAAAGGTAAAGGCCCTCCCGTTGATCGTCGATTTGCTCGAGCGGGCCCAGTAACGTCTCCATTGGAGACTTTGTTGTTACTGTGTCTGGCATATCGAATACTCTCGGTAGCTGGCCAGGCTCTCCGAGAGGGGCGGAGGAATCGAACTCGGGTCAGCCATGTTGGCTGCTTGTAAGGCGAACGCCCTACCCGCTGTGCTAAGTTTTAACTCTTACACTTGAAACAAAGCCTTAAAATGACTGATTGGTTCAAGGGTCTCGTGGGGAAACTAATCTGTAACAAAAACTTGGCATTGCGCGGCGCGGCCCTCACAGCAGCAGGCACTTCTTCTTCCGCTTCTTGACGGGCGGCGGGCAGAGCACGGCGTGGATGGCCTCGTCGAACACTGTCTTCAGGCCCCGCTGCGTGAGCGCCGAGCACTCCAGGTACTTGACGGCACCGATCTCCTTGGCCATGGCCAGGCCCTGCGGGTAGGTGATGGGCGTCAGCTTCTTCTCTTTAAGCTTCTCGATCGTGTCTTTGTCATCCCGGAGGTCGAGCTTGGTGCCCACCAGGATGATGGGGGTTTTGGGACAGTGATGTCGTACTTCGGGGTACCACTTCGCACGCACATTCTCGAAGGACGCAGGACTCACGAGAGAGAAGCAGATGAGGAACACATCCGTCTGCGGGTAGGACAGGGGGCGCAGTCTGTCGTAGTCCTCCTGCCCAGCCGTATCCCACAGGCCCAAGTTCACGGGCTTCCCATCGACCATAACATTGGCAGAATAGTTGTCGAAGACGGTGGGGATGTACTCTCCGGGGAAGGCATTGGTCGTGTAGCTGATCAGGAGACACGTCTTACCCACGGCGCCGTCTCCCACCACCACACACTTGATGGCCTGCATCTGGGCCGCCGGGGGGCCGCGTTCGCGGCGGGCGGGCGGGCGCGGGACGGGGCGCGGGGGGCGGCGCGCGGCGGCGGGCGCGGTGCGCGGGGGGCCGGGGCGCGGGGCACGCCGCCTCGCCCTCCGCGGACTGGAAGCCGAAGGCCAGCAGCGGCCACCACCCAAGGCGGAGGAAAACTCTCCATGGAATATTTTAAAAGAAGCTTTTAAATGTTCGTAAAGTTAATATGCTGTGACTTCTACTTGAAGCACTGTTCTGTTTAGTAAAGGCAACACTCTGATTCTTTATTCCTAGTTTTAAAAGTTTGTATGCTTCTTTGGAATCACACACTTGGATTCAATGTAGATCTTCTATAAAAGAGTAGCCCTTTACATCCTGAGAAAGGCGTAGCATCTTTCTCTTTAGGAGCTTAGAAGATACAAACAAGTCATAAATACATTCGTTGTAAATCTCAGAGAAAGAAATCCAAATAGAAAACTTTATGCTATCATCCATGTTCAAGCAGGACTGTTCACAATCTTTCATAAATTCTTCAAACTCTGAAGGATTCAAAGAGTTTGTCAAACTCCCATGAAGAGCATCATAACTGTCATTATGCATAGCAGCCTTTTTCATTTGCCGAAGCAATGCACTTTTGCTAGTAACTTCTTTCTCTCGATCTGGTGACAATCGTAAATATTCTCTGGATCTATGTGGTTTAAGATTCATCTTAGTATATAGTCTTCCCCTAAGAGTGTCAAATAGTACATTCAAAGTCCGAGGCAGGATGCCAACATTCTCTTCTGTGCCCTGAAAAGTATATGTTTTTCCAGAATTTGTTAGCCCGTAAGTAAAAATCAGCCGACTTTCTCCTTTCAAGAGGTCTTTTCTTTGCTGCATAGTACAATCTCGGAAGAATTCCTTCTGTGCAGTTTTTGGGCCAAAAACCTTAGAGAAACTGAATTTCTGTGGCATCTGCGTAGAACTTTTCTCACTTAACCTACCAGGGATGCTTTGAGGATCTTTCAGCATAATAGTCCGGGAGTCTAAACTATAAACACAACCCTGAGACTCTTGTTCTTTTTCTGATTGTGTGAATGGTCTCACTCGAAGATAAACTTGGAGATAATCTTTGGGTTCCAAACTGCTTGTCTCATGGTTCGAAGCAACTAAGGAAAATTCATTAACATATGCCTCAGAGACCTGGGCCCTACGCAAACAGGATGAGAACGCTATTTGGGTCTCCCCAAGAAGAATAGAAAGAGCTATGCTTGGAATATCACGTTTCACTCAAGTGAGAGAAAGAATCTGGAGTTCCGACATCCGTCGACGATCAAGAATCAGGGGCACTGTCTCATTTGCCAAGGTGTCAAAATTCAGATGGGCTGGTCACGTAATGAGATTTAAAGACGACCGCTGGACTAAAGCTGTCACTGACTGGATTCCAGGGGATGTCAAAAGACCGTGTGGCCGCCCACCTACCAGATGGTCAGACTTCTTCGTCAAGATCATGAGCGATCGGTTTGAGGCTCTTCATGTTCCCAGAGCGAACAGATGCTACTGGGCTACACCAGCACGCTACAGGGACAAATGGAGACGTTCCTGGCGCCCGCTCGAGCAAATCGACGACGAACGGGAAGTTAAGTGATTAAGTTTTAAATGTTGGATTTTGTATTTTGGTGTATATTTGGAACCTGTGACCAAAACGTAAGTCAAACTCGTAACCAGCTGTGAATGTGACTAAACCCGTTGCTGCCCCGAGCACTTGGGGCTGCAGTTATGGCCCCTCACTGCGGTGGACTCAGGCAGATGGCAGCTCTAGTAGCGCTCATGGGAAACAGCTGCCCTCTGACTTGGAATCCATGCTGGGTTCCCTACAAACTGTCTTTTCAGCACGTCTGTTTGCCATCATGAAAGCTGGTCATTTCTGTGGCTTCTGGGAGCTCAAGGAGCTAGCTGTGCGAACATGAATGGAGGTCTCTACCTGTCCCGGACATGGCAGCTGCGTGGTTCAGTTGACGGGTAGAGGAAGTTCACGTAGCCTGTAGTCCCAGTACAGGCTTTGGCTAGCAGGCTCTCAATAGTGGGGGTTACCCTGAGACCACGGTCTCGGGTCAGAGATGAGTGACACTTCCCACAACACCCCCTTCACAGCTGCCTCATGAATGGGAAGCCTTCCCTTACCCCCTCTAGCACACTGACTCCCTGTCCCAACAGGCGCCCTTCCCTGTGCCCATGGAGCATTCCTACTTGCTGTCTCAGCCAATGGCCCGTGCCCAGAGCAGTGCCTTCAGAGGCTGAAGGGGATGCAGCAATAGTACAGTGGGTAGGGTGCTTTCTTTGCACACAGCTGACACCGATTCTATCTTCCAGCATCTCAGGGTTCCCTGAGCAGCTCCAGAAATAATTTCTGAGTCTAAAGTCAGGGGTAACCCCTGGGTATTACTTACTGGCTGTGGTCCTTTAAAAGAAGAAAAAAGACTTGTTCTTTTGGGTGGGGGTGTCAGGCCACATCTGATGGTGCTGAGGGCTCAATCCTGGCAGGATTCCAGGAGTATATGTGATGCTGGGGATTGAACCTGCTGAGTTGGGTTGGCCACCTGCAAGCACCTACTGTACTATTTCTCTGACCCTAGTTAAGTTCTTTATGGTCAGAGGGAAAACTAGCTGGATATACACTTAAGCTTGGAAAAAAAGCTGGGACTGAACAAAACAAGTGCTATGGCATGAGATGCTTTACCTGAACAAGCAGCTGAAATCCATCAGAGAAATGTGTGATCATGTCTCCAACTTAGAAAAGATGTGGGCCCCTGAGTGTGACATTGCAGGGCATCTCTGATAAGAATGGTCCAAATGGACTGGAGCTATAGTACAGTGGGTAGGGCATTTGCCTTGCAAGCAACTGACCTGGATTTGATCCCCGGCATCAGCATCCCATATGGTCCCTTGAGCACCGCCAGGAGTAATTCCTGAGTACCGTCGGTGTGACCCGAAAAGCAAAAAAAAGAATAGCCCAACCCACAGTGACCATGAGAACCAAGCCAGGAGGGGGTGGACCACCCTATCACAAACGCCGCATGCATGATGGATCACCTTACCTTATCTATAACTTGGACCAAAGCATCTAATTGTACTATTCCTTCGATGGGGCTGGAGCAATAGCACAGCAGGTAGGGCATTTGTCTTGCACGCAGCCGATCCGGGTTCAATTCCCAGCATCCCAAATTGTCACCTGGGCACCACCAAGAGTGATTCCTGAGTGCAGAGCCAGGAGTACTTCCTGAGCATCACTGGGTGTGACCTCCCTCCCAAAAAAAGCTAATTGTACTATTCATTCGAATACAATCATAGGGTAGCTTCCTTCCTACCAAAAATTAAAAAGAAAAGATTGATTTCTGAGAAAGTTCTCCTTTCATTCTGAACCAGAATTAACCCTATTTTGGCATTTGCCGTAATTTTCCAGGAGAGGGCGCTGTGGATCTGGGTTTAGAAATGTTTTCTTATTTTCCGCTTGGGGGCACATCTGGCTGTGCTCAGGGATTACTCCTGGTGGAGTTTGTATACCAAGGATCAAACTAGAGGTCGATTGCCTCTAAGGCAAATGTTTTGACCCCTGTGCGGTACCTCTGGACCCAGAGTCCCCCTAGTTCCTTGCTGTAGCCTCTCCTTCATTTCAATGATTTTCACCTGTGGTCCCTCAGGGGCCCACTGGGGCATGGAGAACTGGCCGCCTTCAAAGTCCTGACCCTGCCCTTTCTCGGCTGCAGCAGCTCTGTCTTCCCCTGCCTCCGCAGTAGTCCCTCAAGCTCCCTCTTCCTCTCCCACTAATCTCAAGTTTTCAGAAATTCAGAGGTTCAAGGCCACCCGGGTTCAATCCCTAACACTACAGATGGTCGCCCAAGCCTGCCCAGGAGTGGTCCCTGAGCACTGAGTCAGGAGTAAGCCTTGAGTACCTCCACCCGAAATGGCACAAGCTATCCCCCCGCCCCCGCCAAATAAAAAAGAAACAGAAAAAATGTAGGTGCTGTATCAATAGTACAGCCTGTAGGTGCTGACTTGCACACCGCCTAGGTCTGGGTTTGACCACCATCATGAGTGATCCCTGAGTACAGAGCCATGAATAAGCCCTAAGCACCCCAGGTATGATGTCAAACCCCCAAAAGAAAATACCTTTCTGCTCAGAACATTTTATCTGCCAAAGTATTTGTCAATCTTGACAAAACTTAAATTTTTCTCTTGACTCAATCACATTGGGCTAGAGCGATAGCACAGCGGTAGGGCATTTGCCTTACAAGTGGCTAACATGGCCGACCCGAGTTCGATTCCTCCGCCCCTCTCAGAGAGCCCAGCAAGCTACCGAGAGTATCTCGCCCGCACGGCAGAGCCTGGCAAGCTACCCGTGATGTACGTGATATGCCAAACACAGTAACAACAAAGTCTCCAATGGAGACGATACTGGGCTGCTAGAGGAAATCGATGAACAACGGGAGGACTGTGACCGTGACTCAATCACATTGGTTTGTTTCTCTATAAGTTTGGAATTTAAAATTATATTTTAGAGGGCTGGAGCGATAACACAGTGGGTAGGACACTTGCCTTGCATGCAGCCGACCCTCGTTTGAGTCCCAGCATCCCATATGGTCCCCTGAGCACTGCCAGGAAGAATTCCTGAGTGCAGAGCCAGGAGTAACCCCTGAGCATCACCAGGTGGGACCCAAAACAAACAAAATTATATTTTAGGCAACATGGATGATGTGTCAGACTGCATTTGGTTAGCATTTTCTGAGCTGAGTTTTGAACTTGGGGAAGATGGGATTTCTGTAATAGTAAGGTAGATATATATTTATACCTATATAGGTATTGTCTTTAGCCCTAAACAAAAATCACTATTTTCAAGAGCACACCCTTTATTCCCAAACTGTGGTTTTTCAGGGTTTCCATGGAAAACGGAAGTTTTTCCAAACTCCTCTGTCAAACTCCAAAATGTCTCCCATGGAACTGGCCGCAAATGAATCTCTTCTCAGCTCACCATCGCAGTCAAGCTAGACACACACTTGAAGGAAATGTTTCCTCCGGTTTCTCATCTGCTGAGCCCCCAAACTTCCGCGCCTCCCCCACCTCTCTTTCTGCTCACCCACTTTCTGCAGGAGGTCTTGGGAACTGAAGGAAGCCCTCAGATGAAACGCTGTTTCTTTCCAGAACTTTCTTCCACAGTTTCCGCTGGTTTTGGTCTTCAGACCGCTCTTTGAATAATCTGTCCACGAGTTCTATGGTAGAACAGTGATACAATCATTGAGAGCAGAAACTCGACCGTTTGATTTTTGATCCTTGTACAACCTATGAAAAAAGAAGTAATTGGGGACTGGTGAGATAGCACAGCGGGTAGCGCGTTTGCCTTGCACGCGGCCGACCCGGGTTCGATTCCAGCATCCCATATGGTCCCCTGAGCACCGCCAGGAGTAACTCCTGAGTGCAGAGCCAGGAGTAACCCCTGTGCATCGCCAGGTGTGACCCAAAAAGCAAAAAAAAAAAAAAAAAAAGCGATTAACTAACAAGGGCCAGAGAGACAGTACAGGGGTAAGGCTCTTGCTTTGCATACAGAGGACCCTGGTTCAATCCCTGACACCCATCATGGCCAGAAATGACTCCTGTGTGCAGGTGAGGATTCCCAGGTGCCCCAGGGAAGGGAACCCGCAGGTGCAGGCCCCGCCTCACGGAGGCCCCGCCCCGCCCAGGCCCCGCACAGACACCGCCCCTCGCCGGGCCCCGCCCCCTCCATGCCCCGCCCACGCCCCGCCCCTCGCCGCCCGAGCCTCGCCCAGGCCCCGCCCCTCGCCGCGCCCGTTGCCCTGGCGACGCGGCGCCAGGCCAGGGCAGCCCGGCCACCGAGTGGGCGTGCAGCACAGCTGCCGAGGCAGCGAGAACTGAGAATGAGCGTGGCGGGGGTCGCGGGCGGGCCTCGGCCTTCCAACGCCCCGGTCCTGAGCTCCCGGTCTTCGGCCCGTCCTCGCCAGCGCCCCCCCGCGGCCCCCACGGGTGTTGTCACGGGGCAGCACGGCTGGCAGCCTGGCACCAGCAGCGAGGCACGGAAGCGGGTCGTGGACCTGGAGAAGAGCCTGCAGTTCCTGCAGCAGCAGCATTCGGAGACGCTGGTCAAGCTCCACGAAGAGATCGAACACCTGAAGCGGGAGAACAAGGGTGAGTCCCCGCGGCGGGCGGGGCTCAGAGAGAGAGGCAGATGGGTTCCCCCACTCGCCCTCCCGGCCCGTGTACCCCGAAACCTAGGAGCAGCGCGTGGCCTTCCGCGGGGATCCGGAGACCCTGGGCGACCAGCGCCACCCGAGCCCTGTCGCCCCAGTCGGGTCACAAAAAAACGGATGGTCATGAACAGCACCCTCCGCCGCCCACCCCCGGGGAGGGGGGAAGCTCAGGCCCTGAGTTTCTCTAGCACCTGAGTTTCTCTAGTCTCTCATCCCCCCTTGACTAACTTTATTAGAGGGGGAATTGCTTCTGGTAGAGGGGATTGAGACATGTGAAGTATTGAATGACACACCTGGCCCTGCCCCCCTCCCCCGGGCTGCCTTAATTTTTTGTTTGTTTTGTTTTTTGCACCCGGTGATGCACAGGGCTTAATCCTGGCTCTCCACTCAGGAATTACTCCTGGCTCAGAACCATATGGGATGCTGGGATTTGAACCCGGGTCGGCCGCATGTAAGGCAAACACCCTGCCTGCTCTACTACTGTACTATTGCTCCAACCCCTCCTTAATATTTTTTGCTTTGTTTTGGGGCCACGCCTGCCAATGCTCAAGGGTTACTCCTGGCTCTGGACCCAGGAATTACTCCTGGAGGTGCATGGGGGGCCATGAGATTCAGGGGATGGAACCCAGGTTTGCCACGTACAAGGCAAGCACCCTACCCGCTGTACTATGGTTCAGGCCCCTTAACATTCTTTTTTTTTTTTTCCTTTTGGGTCACACCCAACGATGCACAGGGGTTACTCCTGGCTCAGCACTCAGGAATTACTGCTGGTGGTGCTTGGGGGACCATATGAGATGCCGAGGATCGAACACGGGTCGGCCATGTGCAAGGCAAACGCTCTACCCTCTATGCTATTGCTCTGGCCCCAACATTCTTATAGAAGTAAAATGCATGCCTCTAAGGATGAATTGTCACGAATAAATCAGAGGCAGACCTGCAGACCCTTAGATCCTATGACATCCCCTGCAGTGCAGAGCCCTAATCTGACCCCATGAGTGACCCTTCAACCCGATGGGCCAGTCCTGAAGCAGATCAGAGGCCTGTCCTGACAGCCCTACAGCTTCCGCCCATATATCTGGGGGGCTGGGGGCTCCGGGCTTTTCACCCCACTTCCCTTCTATTGCCTTCCCTGGACCAGCGGTGCCCATCACATCAGGATGTACCTCCAGAGTCGCATCTCCCCTAGTCTCACCCCAGTCCCTCCCTAATGCAGCCCAGGTTCATCCCAGGTGTTAATTGTGGCACTGAGCAGATTGTCCCCCTCCCTGTGAACCCCTGGACCTACCTGACCAAGCGGTTGTGGGCGGCATAGGCAGAGACGCAAGTTGGGACTCTGGTGCAAGGCACAGCCAGATGCACTATTCCTGGCTGAGCACACCCCAGGCTGCGGCTCCTGTGCAGGGTCCCTATGCCCTACTGGAGGGAGGATTCCCAGGGGCTCCGCAGGAAGTGGTCAGGATAAGCCAAGCTCCTCCTCTCGAGTGGTACCCAGGAGAGCCTGTTTGCTTTCAGATCTCCATTACAAGCTAATAATGAATCTGAAGCCATCGAAGAAAGGTAAGAGGCCCTGGAGAACCTAGTGGGAAGTTACCACAATAGAGAGCACCTTGCCACTAGATGCCCAGTGGGGAGAGGTCATGAGGGGCCCAGCCTGGTCTGGGTGATGAATGCAGTGAGCGCCAGAGGCACCATTCCTGGGGCACTCCCACGCCTCCTGGGGCCTATGTGGTAGGCGCAGCAGTATCTCCCGAACTGCCTGCGCTCCCCTTGCCCTGGGCCTGCCATGGTCACACCATGTGGGGCAGATGGCTTTGGGCCCTGGCCATCCTCCTGCCATCTCTGAGAGGGTGCAGACAGGAAATGCAGAGACCCACAGCCCCTGCCTGAGGCCTGTCCCTGTCCCAACTCTGGCCTTCACCTTCCCTGTCCTCCAGCCCACTCGGCCTGCTGGGCCCCGCTTTCCCCATTCCCTTAGGGGCCAGGTCTGGGTGGTGGCAGCCTGGGGCGCCCTGTCCGGGGAGTGACACAGGAGTGGCGGCAGCCTCTGCCAGGGCACAGCCGCACTCACCAGCATGGCCTGGGGTCCCTCATGGGACAGGACCAACTCCTGCCTCTGACCCCAAGTCAGCTTCTGGAGGGTCCTTCAGAAAACCACCTTTCCCGATGTCTCTGGTACCAGTGTAGGGGAGGGCTTTGTCAGAATGTTGGGTGCAGGCCTGGGTGGGAACCTGCAGTCTCCCCGCTGGGGGGCGGGGGGCTCATTGGCAGACTGTCCCTGACCCCGTGCCATCTCCCACAGGCAGCCTCTCCAGCTCCAGCATCCATTCCGTCAAGTCCTTTTCAAACTCCACAGTATCAGGTGAGGGGCCAGTGCCCTCTGGTCCTGAGGCGATGCACCCTGCTGGGGCCTCAGGAGGGCCTGGGTGAGGGTATGAAGCCCACGGGGGTCCTGTTTGGGGCAGACCTTGGGAGGAAAAAGGGAGGCCCCTGCAGCCAACTGAGCTGAAGCCACAGGACGGGATGGAGAGGTGGTGGGATGGGACGTGGGCGGACGACAAAAGCCAGGGTGCAGAGGACAGGGCCCCACGTAGGGAAACTCCCTACCCTGGGGGTGGGGGGTGGGGGAGCAGGGCTGGATGGGGCCCATTGGCAGAATGTCCCTGAGCCTTGAGTGGTCTTGCAGAGAAGAAACGCCGCCCTGGAGAAGCCCTCGCCGTGCCCCAACCCAGCAGACAGGACACAGGTGAGGCGCCCTGTGGGCCTGGACTTGTGGTGTCCTCTCCTCCCCGCTGCGCCCCCAGAGGCCCGGTGTTCTTGCGTGGAGAGACCCCAGGAGGGCAGTGGGCTTTGTCCTCGCAAAGGTGACCTTGGAGGCTGGGTTTCGGCCTCGCGATGCAGTTCCATCCTCCTCCAGGGGGGTTCAGTTGGGAACAGCTTGGGGAGGTCCACACCCACCTTTCCCGCGGCCTGGGGGATGGGCCAGCTTCCATACTGCCCACAGCTGACAGCCACAGGCCCAGTTTCGGGCCTGCATTCTCTCCCAGCACCCCTTGCGACACTGTGTGACCTTCTCTCCTGACCCAGGAAGGCACTGAGGCAGGGGGCAGGGGTTCCTTCAGCGCTCACAGCTGACCCTGGAGTACTGGGCAAGGCGTGTGACTGGTCTATCTGGGTCTGACCTGCAGTCAACGCTCAAGGCAAGGCCAGGCTCCAGCCCAGCTCCACCAAGAAGCAAGACTTGAAAAGTGACGCTTGCCAGAAGATGGACCAAGATGAGGAGTCCCTGATTGCTACCCTACTTCATAAGCTGGACAAAGCCTCTGGGGTCCAGGGGCAGGCCAAGTAAGGCTTGCCTGCACCCCACGACCCCAGGATTGCACAATAGTGTCACATCCTAGAAAGGGCACATTGCTTTGCTTTTCCACGTGGTGGGCCTCCAGCAGAAAGCTAGCTCCCGAGAGCACGTTGGGTGGGCGCTGCTTTGTCCTTTCCCTGGGTTCAAGATCCTATACTGTGCCTATGTTGATCTGAACCCTAGGAGAGGGACCAGTGGCAGCGCCTGACCTGTTTCTGGAAAGAACTAACAAAGCCACTAAATTATTTTTACTTTTGGGGTTTCACCTGGCAGTGCTCAAAAGATACTCCTGGTCTTGTACTTGAAGTGATCCCTACCAGGGCTCAAAGGACCACACATGGTCTGGGTTTAACTGCATACAAGGCAAGCATCTTAACCCTTAGACTACACATTTTTTGCTTTGGGGCCACACCTAGGCGTTCAGGTCTTGTTCTTGGCTCTGCACTCAGGGATCACTCCTGGAGGGCTTGGGGGAACATTTGGGATGCCAGGGTTGAACCTGGGCTGTCCGCATGTAAGGCAAATGCCCTACCTGCTGTACTATTGCTCCGGCCCCTGTACTCTCTTTTTCTCCCTGGGAACAAGGCAGAGCCCCAGGTCCCCCCGGGAATGCACTTGGTTATTGTCAGGCATGGAGCCGCAGTTCAAGGCAGTACCAGGCATCTGGACAGTAATGACCTGGGCCTCTGCATCTTAAGAGGGGATCCAACTGCCCCATCTGGTGCTACCTTCAGGACAGACCCCTTTCTCTGCACAGGGTGGAGCTGCCCTCCTAAGAAACACCACTAGCTGGAGGGTCAGGACCCTGGGGCACCTGGTGGCTGGAACCTCACCTGCCCCTCGGTCCCGGGGGAGTCTCTGTGGACATGCTCTGCCCTGTCCCCTGGCAGCCCTCGGTAGATGGTGTTTAGGCTCCAGAGGCCACTGGCCTGTTGCAATGGCTGTTTCAGAGAGGAGGAAGCAGAGGCCTTGAAACCAGGGGCCACCTCCGGGCTTGGCAACCTGCACAAGGGCAAGCCCCCACAGCTGAGCCTGCCCTCGCAGATGCGCAAGCCCACCACGCTGCACCAGTGCGAGGTGGTCATCCGCCAGCTATGGAACACCAACCTCCTGCAGGCCCAAGAGGTGAGCCTGGGCGCCTGGGGAGTGGCCCCGGGCTCTTGTGGGCACCACCCATGCCTCTCCTCATCTTACAGCTGCAGCACCTCAAGTCCCTCCTGGAAGGGAACCAGAAGCTCAAAGCTGCCTCTGAGGAGGCTGGGCTGAGTCCTCCCAAGTAAGTGACCCTTGCAGCACCCTGCTCCTGCCCCCAGTACCGCGGGGAACTGGAGACGGGGGCTCACCGCCAACCCTGTCACCCAGGGACCAGGAGGCCCTTCATCCAGGGACCATGCAGTTCCCCAAGGTCCACACCAAGGGCATTGCTAAGAAATGGTGAGTCCCTGGGCTTAGGAGGGGTGTGCCCCCTGGGCCTGGGCAGTGGCTCCAGGACGGGGCTCAGCACGGGGCCTGGGAAGCCTTCTGCCAGGTGCACTGCGACTGCCACGGGGCAGCCTGTGCTGACCTTCCCTCTGCCCCACCAGCTTGATCCTGAGCCCCACGCCCATGGCGGAACGTGCCATCCTGCCTGCACTGCGGCAGACCCTCAAAAGTAACTTTGCGGAGCGGCAGAAAAGGTTGCAGGTGGTGCAGAGCCGGCGGCTCCACCGCTCGGTGCTCTAGGTGCCGCCCAGTCCCACCTCACCGCTGCTCCGCAGCCAAGCCCCCCACATGCAGGCGGACGCTCACCCTCGGCATTCCTAAAGGATCTGAAGACCCATCAGTGGGCCCGAGTCTAGATAAACGAAACTCTTGGCACCTGTTTCAGCACTGAGGAATTCTTTGCTCGCTCATTATTTCCTAATCTGCACTGACACAAAACCACGATAGACCAAGTATCCTCCTACCCTTTGAAGACTAGAAATAAAGCTTGTTTCTTCCAATTGTGACTCCTCACTAGCAGGCACCAGGGCCTGTGCACCTAGATGCACCCCGCAATGGGGAGCCTGCCCCTCCCCTGCCAGCTGCCCTGGAAGAGCAGCTCAGGTCGAGCCCAGTGCCCCGGGGGCCAAGGAGGCTTCCTGGCCGGGGCGGCTTGGCTCCTGTCCAACAGATGCTCCAGGTCGATGGGTCCCTCTAGGCCTTGCACCACCCCGTGCCCTGCCCTCACGGCGCTGTCCCACGTCTCCTGGGCGCGGGCAGCTCAACCAGTCTCACCTGGCAGCATAGCCCTCGGGCTCCATGGCTGCTCCCCTCTCCTGCGCACCAGAAATCTGGGCGTGAGCTGAGACCAGGAGCTGACCAACGTGACAGACAGTGAGGCACCCGAAGCCTCCAGCCCACGAGGAGCCCAAGGCACCCTCCAAGGGCTTCGTGGTGCAAGATGCTCCTTGACACCGCAACAGCGAGAAGGCACCAGACATGAGCAACTCTGAGCAATTCCCCAGTTTTGGGGGGGCTCGGGTGGCTCCCAAGACCCTCCCCTGGGGTCCCAAATGATAATGATCAGAGTGGGACTCAGCCTGCCGACCCCGCCTGACCCAGCAGCTGACCCCATCAACTGTCGATGCCCCTCCCCAAGGTCTCACAGTGAGGGCTCTGGCCTGGACCTCAGGCCGCTCCAGCCAGCGAGCTCCGGGCTGGCAGTACACGCCAACGCTAACGGGCCCAGCCAGCCGCAGGGCACACGCACTCTTGGCTCCCTGGTCGACCAAACATGTCAGCCAGGCCCGCCTTCACGCGGGGGCCGGGGGGTGCCACAGCTGTGGCTGAGTCCACTTCCTGTGTCATGACCTTAGGAAATAAATTTTCTTGACTTTATGAAAAAAACAAAAACTGAGGTCTGGGTGACCATGATCAGCTGCAAGGTGGGGACCTGGCTTAGCTCTGTCCTCACTGGACACAGTGACAGACTGATGACAAACACAGGAATAATAAATTTATTATAAGAACCACAGAGGACATGGTAGTGCACATATAAAAGGGGGACCTCTTGTCATCAGAGGCCAGTGGCGCCCTGTTGGGGAATTCTCGGACTCTGGAGTGGCCCTGAGGACACTGGGTTTCCAGGTGACCCCTGACCAAACATCCAACTATGGGTACAGTGTCAGGCACAGGGTCTTCCCAGACACCCCCAGGGCTTGGAAGGGAATGCCATGAGGTATGGGGCCCAGCTGGCGAAGGGAGCGTGCAGTGGCCCCTGGTCAGCCTTCCCTCTGAGACACGGTGGCGCCCCTGAATCCGGGAGCTTTGCTGTCACGTGGCCCTTATGCCAATGGGGGCACAGTCTGAACCTCAAACTGATCAGAGATCTGTGGGTCTGGAGGGTTTCCTATGTGCTCCCTGTTCCCCTACAGAAATAAGTGTTCATACACACACACACTCGCACGCACGCACGCGCACACTGCTCTAAGGAGACCCTGAGATCCCCCAGGTACTGAGTGTGGCCGCAGCCCTGGAGAGGCTCGGGGAGGGCAGCGGAGAGCCCCGGCCAGGGGCGTGTGTGACTCCCTGAGCAGGTTCTGTCCCACCAGGGTGCAGCCAGCTCCACGGCCGCAGGTCCCAGTCTTGTACAAGTGTGGAAGAACATTCGGTAGGTCCCCATGGCGGAAGATAAAAGCAAGAAAGCTAACCTAAGCCCAGGCTCTCCAGGGGGCCAACACCCAGAAACGTCCACCACGAGGCAGACGTCTTCGGTGCTCTCCACAAGGCTGCCAGCTGCCCCCGAGGTCCCCAGCGGGCTGGCGGAGGGCCGGCCTGCAGCAGCAGTGGAGGCGGCTAGGCGGCCGAGAGGCAGGCCTGGTGGATGCTCTGGGCCCAGGTGTTGAGCAGGGCTGTGACCGAGTGCTTGTCGGGGAGCTGCAGCAGCCTCGAGGTCATGCACTGGTGCACGGACTGCAGGAAGGGGTTGGCGTCTGCAAGAGAGTGGTCGGCATGAGCCCCCCAGTCCCCAGAACATACAAGCAACGGAGAGGGGGCTGCCTTGCAGGCATAAGCTGGCCTCTGGGTTGTCTCTGGCCCCCTGAACACGCAACCACAGCGCCCTGGGATCCAGCACCCGCCAGGACCACGAGGGGCTGAATGAGGAAGAGAATATGTCTGGAACTTGGGGTGTCCTCAGTGAGTCTTGGCGCCCCAGTTCATTCCTCAGGGGGCCGGTTCCCGTCAATGGCATTCCCACCAGACCCAAGGGGGGGTGTCCCTAAGACCAAACTATCCCCGCCTCCCTGGACACCAAGCAGAGACCTTCCCTGCCCCATGCTGTCGAGGGCAGCAGAGTGGGAGGACAGGGTCATGCTCTGGGCACACCCACCGTACTGCCACTGCCGGTCAATCCACAGCGGGCTCTGGGCGGGATAGTCGGCAGGCACGCTGACCTCCAGCGGGGGCACACTGGGGAGGTCCTTGTCATCTGTAACACACGCGGTCACACCTGAGACCTGGCCCGACCCTGCTACCCACATAGCCACCTCTGCCCGGAAAGGGAAGGCGTGAGTGTGGGTGGGCCCAGGCCTCTCTGCCCCAGAGATGTGAGGAGGGGCATGTGGGCAGAGGGGCCGGCTCCTGAGGCTCGTGAGCACAGGGCGAGTCCAGAGCCTGCCAGAGGTCGTGCACATACAACCCAGCCTGGAAGCGGAGGGGCCCAGCCGCCCCGCCCCGTCCCTGCAGACACTCACCCAGCTTGCATATCAGGTGGACGGTGCCATTGTTACTGCAGTGAGATGGGTCCAAGTTCACCAGGAATTTGGGGTCTAACCTGGCCACCTCCCCCTGGAGCACATTGGGAATGTTCTGTCGCTCGTCATCTTCAATCTTACGTTTTCGGGTGCATACCACTGGGGCCCTGGAGAAGGTGGCCACAGTGAGCAGACCAGGCCAGATGGCTGTCCAGGGCCCACCGCCACCATGACGCCAAACCCCGGTGTGTACGCACGTGATGGGTGGGCCGTGGATGGCCGTCATAGCTGGCACAAACGTGCGGTACAGGGAATGGTTGAAGACGGGTGAGCGAATGTTCGCCAGCACAGCGTCCAAGAGGGGCTGGCACAAGTACTGCTGCTTGGTTGGAGGTACCGGCGGGGGCGGGGGGGTGGGCTAGAGAGGGTTATGTGGCATCAGCAGCAGCACCCACTCTACCCCAAACCCCAAAGCCCACACACCCAGAAACGTCCACCACGAGGCAGACGTGCGGCTCACAGCCCAGCTCCCTGTAGCACTGCGGCGAGCCTGACCCCACAGGTCAGGGCGGCCGCTCCCGGACCATCGGCAGCTCCCGCAGCAGAGTATTCCCTCTTCCCTGCAGGCCCCAGCCCCGGCGAGCCAGGGACAGGTGGCAGGTACAGGACTCAGCCTGCAGGGATTCTGCACACATGCCCATACTCATTCTCTTGCCTGCCCCTGAAACTGACCCAACCAGGCCGGGTGCCCAGGCCAAGCAGTAGGGCTCTGCCCGGAGCTGCCGGCACGCCACTCACCACCGCCATGTCATTCTTGAGTTTCTCCAGGGCAATCTCACACTTCTGCAATGTCTTCAGGGGGCACCTGTGGGATGAGGGGGTGTGGATGATCCTCGGTGTAGGAGTGGGGAACTGTTGGCTCGAAGGTGCTGGTCCTGATCACTGCCCACCTGGCCTCCCCGGGTTGGAGAGAGCCAGTCCCAGGAACTTGTCACTGCACTTCTGCAGAAACCCTAGTGAGCTGATCAGAGTCCAAGGGAAAGTGGCCTTGAGCATGGACAGAATAAGATATTTAGAGGAAGGTTCAAGGGCACAGGTGGACGTCTAGGTCCCAAACTCCCTGCCCAGCAGTATCACACCCACAGGGATCAGACCCAGAGGCCCAGAGGGGTCGTCCAGCTTGGACGAGCTGGATCTGCAGTGGTCAGCATTCTACTTGCTCGGACAGGCAGAATAGGGAAGATCTTCCAAAAGGAGGGAACAGGGGCCGGAGTGATAGCACAACAGGTAAGGCGCTTGCCTTGCACGTGGCTGACCCAGGTTCAACCTCCGGCACCCCATATGGTCCCCCAAGCTCTGCCAGGAGTGATCCCTGAGTTCCGAGCTAGGAGTGGGGCAGCTGCGGGTACAGGCCCAGCTATGGCGAGGACAGCGTGGAGAGCCTGTGTCTCGGCTGCCTACAAGGCATTGTCCTGTTTCCTATTTACCAACGCACTCTAGCCACTCACCCTTTGGGCGGGTGAAAGGAATCTGAGAAGCAGGGCTGGGCCAAGGCCACCTCTGTAGGATAGCACTGTTTAGTCCTTCCCGAATAGCCTCAAGTAGTTAAGGTTTATTGGGTTGCTCCCATTCCTCTGTATTTATTTGTAACTTCTTTCTTTGTGCTCTGTTGACTTGTAAATATTGTCTTTCTTCTCCTTAAGTCCTTTGCATAGATTATTCAGAGCAATGTCCTTTTTGTACGGACACAAGAAGACAGTATATGCTATGCTTTTGTAATGTGACTCTCAGTGTTATTTTCCTCCTGGGTATCTGTTCTCTCCACCTAGTCTCAGCTGCCCTTACTTCCTAGCACCCCCCAAAGCAGGGTCCTGATGAGGGACAGGATGGAACCAGGGCAAGCTGTAAGCTATGTGCTATCCTGGCATCGAGATGGGCCTGGCCAAAGTGGAACAATTCTTAACTATAAGTTAAGAGTTTTATCATGGACAAATGTTGTCGTGACCCTAGTAACGACAAGACTAGGACCCTGCTAGGAATAGGAAAGACTAATCTGGCCTGAGTACTATAGTCTAAGATTGGGATAACCCCAGGAGAGCAATTCTATAAGCTTAATGCATCTCTTACTGTGTCCATACAAAATGATTACATTATGAATGCTTATGTTTGTTGGGCTGGAGCAATAGCACAGTGGTAGGGCATTTGCCTTGTGCACAGCCAGCCTGGCTGATCCGGGTTCGATTCCTCCACCCCTCTCGGAGAGCCCGGCAAGCTACCGAGAATATTTCACCCGCACGGCAAAGCCTGGCAAGCTCCCGATGACGTATTCAATGTGCCAAACACAGTAACAAGTCTCACGATGGAGATGTTACTGGGCCCGCTCGAGCAAATCAATGAACGGGAGGACAGTGCTATATGTTTGTTGGACAAGGACAGGAGAAACACACCCAAGGCACCTCGACAGAAGGTTTGGAAGCCCCCCCCAACACACTGGGGCTCCTTCCATGAACTCAGCATCGGCGAGCACTGCCAAGCGGGTGAGCCCCACCTGGCATCTTCCACGGGTGGACCCTGTCCTGCCCTGGGGCCCAGGCTCACCGTTTGGAGGGGTCAGTCAGGATGTCCAGAAGGCTCTTCATCTTACTCAGGTCTTTTTTCCTATCTGGAAAGATCAGGGAAAACTAAGATGGGACCAGAGGGGTCCGTGCCCACCCCCCCCCCCCACCGCCCGGCCGGACCCGGGCCCCACCTTCGTTCTTGTCGATCTTGTTGATCATGCGGCGCAGCGGCTCGATGTACTTGGACAGCTGCTTCAGCTTGTCCAGGTACTGCTGCTCCTCGGCCTGGCTGGAGCCTGCTGGACTCATGACCGAGCTGGGGTTCACTGTGGGACACAGCCCGGTGAGGGTGAGGCCGACCGACACGGCCCAGGTCTCTGCCCACCCTCCCAGAGGGCATGCAGCCGAGGGATCCCAGGGCTCATGTGACCCTCAGCACCTCAACCTGCAGGGCCAGCAAGTGTTTGGCTTCAGGCCACATCCACCCCGGGCCTGACTTACCAGGGGTGTTCAGAGGCCCCGGGGAGGGCACACTGAAGTTCTGTGGGGTCCGCGCAGTCACTGGGCTCTGGGAGGGTTGTGGCGAGGGGCTGGGCAGGAAGCTACTGGGGGAGGGGGCCGGGCCAGAGCTGCAGCAAAGCAAAAAGAAAACCATCTGGGAGCCCTGGTGCTGGGCAGGGCTCGCCCTGGAGCTGGGAGCCGGCATGTCCAGCCAGGCTTACCTGACGTTGGAGTTGGGCTGTGAGCTGGGCTGGCCCGGCTGCGGGGATGGCTGTGGGGGCGGGGGCATCGACTGCGGGGTCTGCACCTGCTGGCCGGGCGATGGCGAGGACAGGATGGCGAGGTTGCTCTGGCTGACCTGGAAGTGCAGGGGGCTCAGCCTGCTCGCCTGTGCCCCGCCTCACCCTGCATGCAAGGCTCCCGGCTCCCCGGCAGCCTCGCACTCCCACCTCTTGAACGCACGCGTGTGCAGGCCCACCCACCCACCCACACACACACACACACACACACACACGCACGCAACCCAATGGGCCAGTCCGTGCCCCGGCTCCCAGGTGTGACCAGTTGCAGAGGGAAGTCCAGGGAGGTCTCTGGCTCTCTTCTGAGGACCAGAGAGGACCATGTCATGGCCACGGGATCATCTTCCTGGTGCCGGTCCCATGTGGGCCTGCTTCCAAGAGCGGGTGTCAAATGCGCGGCACCTCGGCTGGGACTCCTCAGCCTGGCATATGGGCCGGGACAGGATGGCCCACGTCCTGCCTCCAGTCTGGCTGCTAATAACTCCTGCACTGGACCAGTGGGGGCTCATCCTTGCCCCCCTGAAGTCCTCATGGGGGGGTGCACAAGGATCGTGTACACCACTGTGATCACTCAGGGCCCCTCAGTGCTCTCTGTGAACTCTGTGGGACCATATGAGGCAAACACAGGCACGCGGGAATGCCACGGCAAGGCCAGTCTCCTGGGAGCTGTCACGGCAGCCAGGGCCCACTGGCCGCAGAGCTCTGAGCTTAGGGGTGTCTCCCAGGGCTCTTCGGAAGACTGCCCGGACCCAGCGCGCCGCCCCACACCAGCGTGTCTCCAGGGTGCTCTGACCACCTCTCCCGAGGCCAGGCTGCGGGCACTCTAAGGGGGTGGCTGCCTTCTTTGGTCTCTGCTCTGCAAAGGCCCAAAGGTTCGTGGGGAGTCGGACACCCGCCGTCTTGCCTGGCTCCGTGTTTCCAGCACTGCTGACCAAGCTCTTGGAGTGCAATGTCGCTTCCCGCCAGTCCGCAGATTCCCCACCCCTTCCCCGACCAGGACGCTGGCGTAGAAGGGAGCACCCAGGGGAACACATGGCACTTTCACGACCAGTGGCATCTGGCTCCATGGGAGAGATGGAGGGAACAGTATCTGTCCGGTACTGGGCCCCCAGCTGCGAGCAGGGCCAGGCCCTCGAGTCCCGCTCCCAGCAGCCAGGTCTGAAGGGGTCCTGCCAGATGAGCGTGCAGGTTCCTGACTTAGGACGGGAAAGATGCCCCTAGGCACCACCAAGCTTCCAAGAGGAAGATGGCGATCAAATCGCCCCTGAAAGGTCCATGCAGAGAACCTCTCTGGTGCCCTTGGCAAAGGCCCTGGGCGCCTGGGGTGTGCCCAGCCTCGAGCAGGGATTCCTTCTAACACCTTCTAACGCCGTTTCCTGCCCCTGGAGCCTGGCACCCTGTCCCCTTCCCCTGACCTTCCATCCCTCTCCAGAGCCAGGTGCTTCCCGACCAGCCAAGACCCCCACCTGCCCTGGGGAGTCACGGCAACCCTGCTCAGGCAAGCAATTCCTTCCCGGGTGCCCAGATCTCGCCCTGCACCCTAAGGTGGAGCAGCTGGGAGAGCGGGAGGCACCCACACAGCACCACGCCTCCGCTCCATGGCTCACTCCTCCCAGAATGTCGAGTGGTCTTTTCATTTTGTTTTGGGGGTGCTAGGGCGATGCTGAGATGTTACTACTGGCTCTGCATTCAGGAATCAGTCCTGGCAGTGCTTAGGGAACCATCTGGGATGCTGGGGATCAATCCGGGGTCAGCCTCATGCCAAGCAAATGCCGTAATTACCCACAGTACTATCTCTCCAGTCCTCATATTTTATTTAATTTTTTGTGGTGCCTGGGGTCAGACTCAGGGCTTCCACATGTAAGCCAAGTGCTCTACTGCTGAGCTATAGTCCTGACCCTGGAAGTATATTTTATTTTTTTTTCCTTTGGGAGGGGGCACACCTGATAGTGCTTGGGGCTTACGTCTGGCTCTGTGCTCAGGAATCACTCCTAGCAGGGCTCAGAGAACGGTATGAGGTGCCAGGGATCGAACTGAATAGCCAAATGCTAGACAAATGCCCTACTGGCCGTACTACTGCTCGAGTTCCTTGAGCGTATTTGAAAGGCGCCCTCAACACTCAGTCTGCGGGGAAACAGCATTTTTTGCTCACACCCTCTGCTCTGGGTTTCCTGGAATGCACACAGCTCCCAAGGTGCGAGAGGGTGGGAGATGGAGGTGAGCGGTCTGTGCAGGCCAGGGGCACCATCGCCCAGAGCCCACCTCTCGTGCTGGGTCCCGGCTCCATCCCTCTGCCACTGTCGCCGCCACTCACCCAATCCAGGTCCTTCATTTCTGAGAACCATTTTCAACACCCAGGGCAGGCCCTTCATTTCTGAAGACAATTCATGATTACCGAGGTGGCCAATGGGGTTTCTTTCGTGGACATTTAGGACCTGTGCACTGGGGGGGGTGGGGGGGGGGTGTCCCAGGCCCGAATTCCAGCTGCCACAGACACACCTGGGATAGAGAACAGCCACCCAAAGAGCTGTCCCGAGAAAGAACCAGTCTGGCTCGGAGACTAGGAAGACAGGAATCTCGGTTTCAATTCGAGGTGGGGTTTTCTGACACTCACGTGTGCACTGAGGCTCTGCCTTCCCCACCCAATCGGGAAAAGAGCTACCCGTCACATCTGTGTCAGCACTGGCAGAGCTGCAGGGCTGTGCCCACCAGGAGAGCAGCTCGCAGGTGTCTGCCTGCTCCTGCCACCCACCCCTCATTCACCGGCATGTCAGGACTCAAGCTTACACAGCTGTGGGGGAGTCCAGGCACCCCCTGCTCAATCCTGCCTTCCTAGGGAGCCAGGACAAGTGTCAAGAGCGGCTCCTGGGCCAAGTGCAGGAGCAGAAAGGGAAAGCAGGGAGGAGGTGGAGAGCAGGCAGAGCGGAAGCAGACAGAGGGCAGCAGCGGTTACAGAGCCAGGCTGCCAGGTGGGCAGCAGGCTTGTGAGCACGGGTCCTGTGAAGCCTGGCTTCCCCCGCACCCACGGGGACGAGCCCTGTGCTTCTCCTGGTCTCTGCCCCTGATGTCCCCAGGTGTCACTTTCCAAAGCAACAGGAGCTTCGGTCCCTCCGTGGTGCCACCCGGGAGCACCAGCGGCTCCCCAGCTAGGCCTGTCTGCAGCACTCCCACAGTTCATGCCTGTTCCCAGTTGTTGGGGGATCCATGAAGTGCCCATGACACAAAAAAAGCAGCCACTGGACATTATGACAGGGACAGCAGAAGGGAGACTGAGGCGAAAGAGCCCAATCTCAAGAAGAGATGATGCAATGCCGTATTAGTTTTCTCTTCTGCTCGTTTTCGTGGACCCAACTTACTGCCTGGAAAGCAAAACCAGTCAGGCAGTGGACAGTGGACAGAGAAGCACACGGAAACACGCTGAGCTTGTGTGGACTGGCTGTGGCTGGCATACCCACGGTGACAGCAGGGCAGCCCCAGCTCATGCTGGCACCAGGTTCCTGGGAGTAGCAGTCTTTTCTTGGAGGACCGGATTCAAAAGGCACTGCCACAAACATCCCAATTCTGGCCAGCTGAACGGCCACCAGGTGCCCAGTGCTATGGGGTGGGGGAAGAGTGGGGGGACCCTTCTGAAAGGCCAAGGCTGAGAGTTTATCTTCGTTCAAAGGGGCAGCGGCATCCAGTCTCCAAGGCTGCGGAGGACCAGCACGAACAGAACATCCATTGGGGTGCCGTGCCCCGGGGTGCCGCCGGGAGATGGGCAGCAGCCCCCACGGGGAGCCTGGCCCAAGGCCCGGCATATACCGGAGTTCCACTCTGTCTAAGAGTCAGCCCTGGGCCAGGGAGACATGAGCGTGATGCACTGGAACACATGTGTGGCACGCGGAAGGCCTGGGCATGCTGCCCAGCAGCGCACAGCGCCTTGAGCACCATGGAGGGCAACCCCCAAGCACCATTACCACCAGCAAAACAGACAACCAAAAACCCAGTCTGTGTGCTGATGCCAGGATGATTATCTCACGCCCCGCCCCACCCTGGTCAACCCAAGAACTCCAGGCCAGAGGAGAAGGAGCAGAGCAGAGGCCACAGAAAGGAAGACCCGAAGGAACAGGAAGGAGCAAGGAGTGACTGAGAGCAGCCCTGAGGCTCAAACCCTGCGCCTCCACAGGGCGTGAGCACGCAGTTCCCCTTTCGCAAACTCCCGCTACTCCACCTCCCATAACCCAACGCCACCGTCTGAGAGGTCAAGGCCAAGAACTCGAGCTCCAGTCAGAGACAGACCACAAAAAGGACAGAAGTGTTTGAGGTGACCCTGGGGTCAGGATGCACCGAGAAGGTGGAAGCTGAGTCCCCCACACAGCAAAGCCTGCGCCGCAGGAAGGCCACTGCTGCCGTCACACGTCTCAGCGGCCCGGGGGCCAGACAAGCGGGGCGCCCCCAGCCGTGACGGCACCACCCAACAGGTAGCACGGGCAGTGCCGGCCAACATGCTGTCTGTGCAGGGCAGGACCGGGCCTGCTGTCCGCTAGGATTCCACATGCCTCTCGTCACAGAAATGGAATTTCCAAACCTTCGTATACTCGCACCCTCACAGCGCCCACCCAGAGGGGCCGGCTGTGAGCCCGGGGGCCATCACCACCTTACTCTCCAGCTGAGAACGGTGCCTGGTGAATGGAATGCAATGATGACTGTTAAACAAATAAACACGCCACAGAAGATTTCAAACGTCATGATGATGGAGAAGCGGGAATTCATGAACCTGAAACAGGGTGACACGCTCAGATGTCCTATCTACCCAGAGTGGGCAGGCATGTGTGGCAAAGTCACACGCCGCACAGTAAACTTGAGGAGAGCGTTTGTCATCTAGTAAATGCCATTTGAATGACAGCCTACCGGGAGCCTCTGGGCTCCTGAGCCCCTGAAATGCAACTGGCATCACTGTACTTTTAATTTCATTTAACTTTAACTCAAACATAAACAGCCACATACGGCTGGTGGCGACCATATTAGAAAGCAAAACTTACTGCTTTGCGTCTGGTTTTATTTTTCCAGAGAAATGACAGCAGCATAGCTACTGAAACACTAAATTTGTTTAAGTTTTGGGCCTCACCTGGCAGTGCTCAGGGCTTACTCCTGGCTCTGCACTCAGGGATCACTCTCCTGGCAGGCTTGAGGGATCATCCAGGGTGACGGGGATCAAACCCAAGGGTCAGCTGCCCTACCCACTGTACTATCCCTAAAAATTTTTTAAAGCTACTTAGATCCGTCTTTCTCCAGGACATGAAACATTAAAAACTATCCAAAATTCAAATGAAAATACCCAGATAGCGACTCATTTCCCCTCAAGAAACAGCAGCTGGGCTGGTCTCAGGTAAGCTGTGGGCCCTGTGATGGCCTCTGTGAGGGAAGTCACCAAAGGTGACAGTGACCCTCACCAAAGGGGTTCCGTTCAGAGGGCCCGAGCTTCCCGGAGGCCCTGGGCGCTGCCCCGTAAATACCTGTGCCGAGGGCTGTCCGCCCATGGGGATGGAGCTTGACGGGACGGCTGAGACGGCGCTGGAGGGCGGGAACCGGGCTCTTGGCATCCCGCCTTGGGCGAAGGCTGCGGTGATCATCTTGAGGACAGAGGGACAACAGACAAGGTGATCGCAACAAAGAAATGCAGTGCATGGGCAGGTGGCGAGGGGTGCGTAGCCGCCGTGATGGGTGCGGGGTCTCCGGGGGGCTCGGGGAGCCTGAGAGGAGCAGGGAGGCCAGCCTAGCTTCAAGCCCACAGCACAGAGGCCTGTCACGGCACCAGGAACACAGGAGCCGCTGAGAACACAGCTGCCACCTGGTCGCCGTCTGCCTGCCGCACTCCTTAAACCAACCTCCGATCTGTGGACGGGCCAGACTTCCGGGGCTGGGTGGGAGCCCCAGGTCAGACAGCTGAAGAGAGGATCAGGACTCGCTGTGAGAAGCGACCAGTCACTGCACCGAGGTGGCACCTCGACTCGGCTGTACTGCCAGGGAAAGAACCTCGGAGGCGCCTTCAGTCTCAGCAAGACTGAGTATCTGCTGAGGGACTGTTCTTTGTTTTTTGTTTTTTTTTTCTTTTTTACAACCAAAACAGGGGTGCCTGGGACACTGCTCAGCTGCAGCTCCAGCAGGGTAGGGGCAAGCCAGCTCCTAAACGTGCAAGAGGATGGCAGATTCCAGGAAGTCACTGGCACTGCTCTGGCCCCAGCCTGAAACTTCTGGAAGCACAGAGACAGCGAGGGAGGCTGAGCACGGCCTAGGTGGGGGTCTGAGCCTGGCTTGCACCAACAGGAAATGGTGGTGATGGGGGGGGAGGGGGTCCAGTCTGACCCCTGGTGATCAGGGTCTGTGTTCACAGCTGCTCAGGGGGAATCACACTAACCCAGCACAGACGGCCGAGGTCAGAAAAGAAGCCGGACGGATGGCCGAGAGAAGGACGGTCTGCCCAGGAGGCATGACATGGATGTTAGTCTGAGTGGGAGGCGGTGGGGTGGGGGGTGGGGGTGAGTGTCAGGGACAGGCCTGCAGGAGATCTCTGTCCCACACGCATGTCGGACACTCACACCCTTGGGTGCATGCAGCAGGCACCAAGCCAGGGACAATCCAAGCAGCAGCAGACGCCAGCCGGAACGATGCAGGAGCTGTGGGAGAAGGGCACCTGCAGCCAGCGCACAGCTCCTGGGGGACCAACGTCCACTCCCATCCTTCAGAACAAAAGCCAGGGGCCGGGAGGGAATGCGAGGGCTCACCCTGGACGTAAGGCCCAGGTCACAAAGCCCAGGGAAAATGCGCCTCTTCTACAGAGGCCCACTGCCCACACTGAGGAGGGGCTCCCAAAGCAGTGCCCCTCAAACCAGCTCCCAGCAGAACTGGGGCGTGGGAGATAAAGTGGGGTCCACAGTCAGTGGTACACTCAGAGGCTCCCCCAGGATGGCTCACAGTGTTTTCCAGAGAGAGAAAGCCTGGAAGTGAGGGGGAGGGGAGAGGCGCGAACTAGGTGAAGGAGAAGCTGTGAAGAATGAAGGTGAGCACCTGACTGTCGCTGATGGGCCTGCTGAGAACTAAGAGCTCCCACGGCAAGCCCTGGGGGGGGGGGGGGGGGGGGCCAGGACTTGTTTACACAATTGGAGGAGCAACCGGAGCAGCACAACACCAGCCCCCAGCCGCCCGGGCTGCCCGCCCTCTGGAGTGCCTCTGCCTCCGTGCACGGCGGGCTCCACCTGCTGAGAAGGGGCCCTCGCTGACTGTCAGCCAGGAGCCAGGCCACCTGCAGGCAGACAGGGAGGAGGGCCGCTGATGACAAGTCTCTGTAACCCGAAAACTGCAGGGATGTCTTCAAATACTAAGAGATCAGGTTAAAAGACAAAAGAGAAGGACCTGGACACCCATTTCTGCTGTGGATTTATCTGCCAAGTCTCCTGCTGTGCCCCAGTCACCCCCACGGCGAGGGCTAGTGATGCTTCTCATCTCCGTGAGGCAGGTCACAAATGAGGCGGGTTTTACTTGGGACACTACTAATGCAAACTCACACCCAGGAGCCTGGCCGCTCAGGGGCCCACGGTCCTGGCGAGCGTCTGGCAGGACCCTTCTTTGTTTCTTCACTGTCCAGTGGGCAGTGATGAGAGACATGTGACGGGCTGTCCACTGGCCTACCTCAGCTCTTCCTTCACAGCCCTCTTCTGTGTGGAAGCCAGGACACATAGCCACCACATCCTGAGGTCCAACAGCCCGCCTGAACTCTGACCAATCACTGGCTGGTAAGACATGAGGCTGCAGAATGAGCCAGTGCCTCACCTGTGGGAAGTGCCAGGAGGCATCCAGAACGTGCCCACACATCAGGGCACGCACCACTGGTTCCAGTGAAACATGTGGAAACAATCCCAGGATTCAAGAGAAAGATGACAGATAAGGGCAGGAGAACGTAGTCATAAAAGGAACTCTCCGTACAAGAAAGCCTGGACCCAGGGCTTCATCACAGGAGTGATTTGCTCTTGAATGCTAATGAGAAGGCAGCCACACGGATACCTAATGTACAGTATGACCCGGACCGTGTATGAAAACCGAAAAAGGTGCTGTCACAGTACTTTTCCCACACTGGAACGCTTCCTTTAACATTCTCTCAACATTTACCTTCTAGTGCTACCACTTATCAAAGTTCTGGGGTTGGGGGGCAAAAAGGGTCAAGGGGCTGAGGACATGCTCTGTATGTGGGTTTGACCCCTCACATGGCACAAGTCCCCAAGTACCACTGGATGTGGCCCTCAAACAAAAAGTCTTGTAATTAAACTATCTATCCCTGTACCTCGTCCACTCTGCCAACGTGGCTCGCACTGGAGGGCTGTGAATGCAGAGACAGTGCAGGAGGGCTAATTACACCTCACAGTCGCCGAACAATGCAGCCAGGCAGAACTAACACAGAGACACACCTGCAGAGTTAGGCAGAGGCTCTTGAGAAACTGGACATATCTGCTCCTGGGCCTAAGAACGCTCCGCTCCCTCTTTGTGCACCAGAGGGATAGTACAGTGGAGAAGGCACTGGCTTTGCGTGTGTCTGGCCTGGGTTCAATCAGTGGCACTCCATATGGTCCCCTGAGACCCACCAGAAGTGATCCCTGAAAACAGAGCCAGGAGTAAGCCCTGAGCACCAACAGGTGTGGCCCCAAAGCAAAAAACACCACCACCACCACCACCACCACCACCACCACCACCACACACACACACACACACACACACACACACACCCATAAAATGCCAAAGAACAGGCTGGGAACATGACTCAGCGGTAGAACAAAAGCTTCATACATGTGAGGCCCTGGGTTTCATCTGTGTGATCACAAAAAAATATATCAAATTTTAAAAAAAGCCCCCAAACCTGCCAACCTTTTCATATTCCTACTGGTCTGGATTAAGATGCATAAGTTTCCATGCAGCAGGCCTAACAGGGCAGGGGCCCTCACAGAGCAGGTGGACTGGGTGGTCACTGTGTGCCGCCAGGACCAGTTCTGATGACATACCTCCTTCTCCTCTGCACAGGATACCAAGGAAAGGTATCTCGGGAGACACTGCCGAACACAGGGTGGTGACAGCAGAGACAGACTCCAACCTTGTCACGCAGGGTGGCCAGTTCCCTCTCTGGCTACAGATGTTAGTCTGTAATCTGTCTGACACCAGACTGCCTAGACAGGCTGGCGCGGACCCTGTGACACGGGAGCTGTTGTCCGGGCTCAGGGGCAGCCTCATGGTCCTCCACTGCACACCGCTGGAGCCTCCAGGACACACCAGCAACTCGGCTGGAGACAGCGGCCGAGAACACATGACAGCCCAGAGGCACTCGGGACGCAGAGCTGGGCACTGGACACAGACTCCCGGGTGCTGGCCAGGGGCAGAGGGCAGCTCACACTGTTCAGCACAGCCACCCAGGGCAGGTGGGAGCTGGCACAAACTCTCCTGAGAGAGACTACCTGAGCTCCCCCTTCCGGGTGGAGACAAAAAGAGCAAAGGCCCCTCAGCCCTGATCCTCACCAAGACACTGGCACAAGTGTGGAATGGGTAAAGGGTCCCCGTGTCACTAACCCAAAACTGGCCCCTCGCCCTGGCAAGGCCACTTGTCCCATCTATAGCTGACATATCAAGTCCCCCTCCGGCCTGTGGCCCTGGCCACAATCCTTAGCACAGGGACGAGCAGCTAAAGACCGCTGGATGCAGGCTCTCAGCAGAGATCTCCGACATCCCTGCAGCAAGCCACAACCATTCCCATGCTCGTGCGACAGCCCAGCGAGCTCCGGTCGCCCATAGCCGACCAGTGCTCAGCACGAAGGCCGGGCTGAGCTCAGGATGCTCCTCCCGGATGGGCTTCTCCGAGAAGACAGAGAGAAGGCGGAGAGCGGCAGAGGAGAGAGCACACCACGCAACCAGCTCACGGACCTGTTCAGGCGGGCGCCAGGGAAGGGAGCCCCACGCCAGACCATCGTGGCCCCTGGTCCCACCAGGACCTTCGTCCCAGTGCGCCTGGGACCCGGCACCACGCATGGTGGCCATGCACCTGCCAGCAGGACGGAGTTGCTGGCCTCAAGGGTTCTCACCTGGACGCCAGAAGCCACTATCTGGGAGGCCTGAGCTGCAGGGACAGCTGTCTGCGGCTGCACCTGGGGCTGCACCTGGGGCTGCACCTGCTGCACCTGGGGCTGCACCTGCGGCTGCTGCATCACCATTGGTGCCCGGACCTGGGAGAAGGAGGATCTGTCGTCACGTTGGGTAGAGGGCTGAGCTCCCATGATTTCTGTGGAGGGCTTCAGACCTCAAAGCCTTTCGTGAGAAGCGGAAGGGGACGACCCCAACCTCACAATCTACCATGACACTCTACTCATGAAAAGTGTCCCACAAGCCGGAGCAAAAGGAGAGTGGGTAGGGTGCTTGCCTTGCAAGTGGCGACCAGGTTCAATCCTGGGCATTTCAGATGGTACCCTGAGCACCGCCAGGAGTGATTCTTGAGTGCAGAGCCAGGAGTAACCCCTGAGCACCGCTGGGTGTGACCCAAAAACAAACAAAAGAAATGCCTTTTGTCTTTCAACTATGGACAGAGGTGCGGTGTCCTCACCAACAGCATCGCTGCCAGCCTCAGCCGGCCAGCAAAGCAACAGCTCCGAAGGCCAGGCAGCCTGCCCGAGCTTAGGCCAAACCCAGTGAGGAGACCAAAAGGAAACCGGACTGGTCAGCCCTCACTGCAGCCCGGCTCCCAGGTGCTCTTACTCTTCGCCTCCAGTCTACCCTGTCAGGTGTCCCAGTCATCGTGCCACTCAATTTCTATGTGGCCCTGTCCCATGTGACTTGTGCATGAAAAAACAGAAGAGGTTGGAAAACACAAGGAACCAAACAAGGAAAAGTTTGACTTGGTGACAGTGTCTTCTCCCCTATGTACACGTGGATGACGGTATGTGCTTTGGAAGAGTGAAATCAACAGTGTCTTGCATGGATTCACCTCTCAAAAACATAGTCAGGACAAGGTTCTTGGCTCAGAACATTACTCCAAGGAGCCTGGCAGACCGAGGCCCACTTAAATCAGCCACGGGACGTGGAAGGCAAACTGCTGCCCCATATTCAGGGGTGGCCAGGCAGGGCAGAGCAGACCATGAATGCACGCTCCTTCACAGAACATGGCGCTGGCAGACCAGGTCCCACTGCTCGAACAGACATGCCACTGAGAAGCCCCAGAAACCTGATAGCCACTGGGCCCTCTGGTAAAGTGCATGCCTGGCACACACAAGAGCCAGGCTCGATCCTCAGTACTGCAAAACAAAGCCAAAGTGAAACCGACAGGGGGCTGGAGAGCACCCTCTGCACACAGGAGGCCCAAGGCCCATTGCCGGCCCCACAAGCACTTCCAGAAGCATCTTCTGGGCAGTACAGTGACAGCCCCCGAGCACAGCCAGGGGCAGTCCCCCTAATATACACAGAAACACACCATAAAAAGACTGACAGCTCGCGGCGTGCCTGGGGACTCACCAGCTTCAGCTGTGACTGGTACAGCATCTGTCCAGGGAGGGCCGGAGCCTGAGTCACCAAGGGCTGCGTCTGGGACTGCGGCGGGAGCTGGGAAGGCTGGTTCTGAGCCACCGAGGGCTGCTGGGGCTGCGGCGGTGGCTGGTGGTGCTGCGTGTGGTGCATCTGCTGCAGCTGCGGGGGCAGGGTCTGGGAAGGGGGCGGCTGAGGCTGCTGCATCGGGGGCTGCGCCTGCAGGGCCGCCTGCTGCTGCTGTTGCTGCTGTTGCTGCTGCTGCTGCTGGAGTTGCAGCTGTGCCATCCGCTGCAGCTGCTGCTGCTGCTGTATCTAGCGTCAGGACAAGAGAAGAGGCAGCTGGTCACACAACCGCTGGCCCCTGGGCCCTGTGTCCGTCTGGCCTCCAGGAAGTCCACCCAGTATGCTATATTGCAGGGAAAGGACACGGAGGACACACCAAGAGTGAGCATGTACCCTGACCACCAGAGGCTGCTTTACGCCTAGATGTGACAGGAAGAAGGAAGGTTCAAGGGAAGTGTCTGGAGGCAAGGAATGACCGGGTGCAGCCCTGCAGAAGCTGGGGCCCACCCTCATGCACAGACAGACACAGTGGCACACGTCTGCAGTGATGCTGTTTGGTCTTGTACGGCTATCGATGGGAGGAGGAAAAAAAGAAGAACCAAAGATTCCTTTTAATCTGAGAGAAGCCTCTCACATCCAGTGGGGAAGGAAGGGAGTAAGTCAAGGTCTGGAGAGGGGGAAGTGGAGAGGTGCCCAAAGGTTTTCCCTCCTGTGACCAAGATCTTGGCTAGGCCGCAACTGCGAACCAGGGGAGGGAGAAAACGTTTTCTTACGAGCAGGGATTCTAATGCGGCGCTGGCACCGCCTGCGGGACAGTAGACGGGGGTCAATGAGTGTGGCAGCCAGACGCCGAGATTCAGGAGTAAAGAAGGGAGGCACATGGGCCCGCAAGAAAAATACACGCAGCCCCGCGGGTCAGGAAACTCTCCCTTCAGTTAATTCCTCCATAAAATACCCAGAAAATCCCATGGATCCTGCGCCCCAGCACCTGGTAGGCAAGAGGGCTGGGAGGAGAGCTGGGGACCGGTCACAGGCAGGAGGCCGGGCTCCGTCCCCGCACTGCACTGCCCGGCACGGCCCCAGACCAAACTCAGAGAGGAGCCGTCTCGTACGGTCACCGTCTCCCCTTTCTGAGATGTCAGGGCCGCCGTCCTCCCCGGGCCGGGCTCCACAGACACCCGGGACGCAGCAGGCACGGCCCCAGCACCGTGCTGTGGGGTCTGGGCCGCAGAGGCCCGGCGGGGGAACAAGAGCGCCTGGTACCTGCTGCTGGTTCTGAATCAGATGCTTGTTGAGCAGGTGCTGCTGCTGCTGCTGCTGCTGCTGGAGCTGCTGCTGCTGCTGCTGCATCACAGCCTGGAACTGCTGCTGCATGGCATTCTGCTGAGCCTGGAACTGCTGCTGCTGTTGCTGCTGCTGTTGCTGCTGCAGCGCCACCTGCTGCTGCTGGAACTGCTGCTGCTGCTGCAGAGCCACCTGCTGGAGCTGCAGCTGGGCTGAAGGGGAGAGAAGAACATCTGGCGCCTGGCACGGGAAGCTCCCGCTCGCGGCTCCACCCAGGGCCACACCGGGTGCAGCGCACGGCAAGATGGCTGCCAGCCCACACATGAACGCTGGGATGAGCGCGCCACTAAATGAGAGGCGGGCGTGCGGGGAGAGGCAGCTGTGTTGACCTGGAACTTCCTAGCAGGAATAATACAACAACAACAACAATAATAATAATGGGAAAAGAAGAGGGTGAACCGAGTCTCTACTTTTGGATGGCTCCCAGGCCTAGTGCTAGCACCCACGAGTCTGGGGACTCACCAGCTTCAGCTGTGACTGGTGCAGCATTTCTACCTCCAGGGATTTGGACTTGCCTCTCCTGGACATCTAACAGGATCGGGAGCTCCCAGGAGGCAGTCCCTGGGCCCCTGCTTTCGCTTGCCTAACATTTACAACATGCAGTGTACATCAGGATTCCGGTCCTGCACTGTTGCACAGTACGTGGATTTCCCACATTCTCTCATTAGCTGAAGGACATTTGGGCTGTTTCAACTTTTTGGCAATTATGGATAATGTTGCTATAAACAACCACTTTCAAGATTTCTTTGTGGTGCAATTTCCTCTGACAAAGACATGATCTAAACATCTAAAATTGATTGCAGAGACAGTCACACACAATTCTGTAAACATACTAAAAACTACTAAACATGGGACTCTAACAATGCACTGTATGGCCTGTGCATTGTAATTTAGTAAAGCTGTTTTTCTGTTTTTTTTTTTTGGGGGGGGGGGAGGGAGCACACTGGGCTGTGCTCAGGAGTCACTCCTGGCAGTGTTCAGGGAACCACATGTGCTGCCAAAGAATGAAAGAATGAACCCCGGTGAGCTGTGTGCGAAACAAGCACCTTACTTGCTATACTATCTTTCCAGCCCCAAGTTATTGCTTCTATTCATGATTTTTTGGGGGGCCGTACTCACTATTGCACAGGACTTACGCCTGGCTCTGCGCTCAGGGATCACTCCTGGCAGAGTTCAGAGGACCACGTGGGATGCTGGGGAACCAAACCTGAGTCAGATGCATGCAAGGCAAGTACCCTACCCACTGAACTATGGCTCCAGCCTTTCAAGTTATTTTTAAAAAAGGACTCTACACAGAGAGATCCTTAGGACACTATGCCCATTTTGTCCCAATATACAATATTTAAAAGGGTAACATAAAGGGGCTAGAACAATAGTACAGCAGGTAGGGAACTTGACTTGTGCACAGCAGAGTCTGACACCAGAGCCCACAGGTGTGATGCCTTGAGGACACAGCCAGGAAGAAGCCCCAAGTACCACTTAGTATAGCCTCAAAACTAAAGTGAAAAAAAAAAAAAGACATAAAAATCATGATCAGGGGCTGGAGCGATTGTACATCAGGTAGTTCGCCTTGCACGTGGCCAACATGGGTTCGATCCCCATCAACCCATATGGTCCCCAGAGTACCACCAGGAGTAATTCCTGAGTGCAGAGCCAGGAGTAACCCCTGTGCATCGCCAGTATGACCCAAAAAGAAAAAAAGAAAAGAATCACATCAGGGCACTAAGCAACAGTACAGCGGCTCGAGCAACAGTACATGCCTCACACACGGCTGACCCAGCTTTGATCCCAAACATCCCACATGGTCCCAAGCTCTACCAGGAGTAATTCCTGATTTCTATTATTTATTTATTTATTTTTGCTTTTCGGGTCACACCTGGCGATGCTCAGGGGTCACTCCTGGCAGTGCTCAGGAGACCATATGGGATGCTAGGAACCGAACCCAGGTCATCCGTGTGCGAGGCAAACGCCCTACCTGCTGTGGTATCACTCCAGCCCCAAATTCCTGATTTTTAAAGTAGATTTTACATGTACATGACATATCTGATATCCTTGATCCATTCCCCACCCTTCCTGACTTTCATTAACTTGATCTGGGCTTATCCTCTTACCCCAATAAAGAAGACTTATATTAAGAAGCAAAGCAGAATATACTACTTAGGGGTTCAGGCCCTGCTCTTGATATCCAGGAATTAAATTCCAATTCTTCACTGCTCTGTGCTTCAGTTTCCTTAGCTGCAGAAAATAATAGTTTTTATTCCATGTACTGGACTTGAAATTAATTCACTATCAGTAAGGCTCTCACAATAGCACCTGGGGATGCATGTTGAGGCTGACTTGGACCCATATTACACTAAACAGGTAATTAAAAAAAATACAAAACGAGGGCTTTCAACCATATCCCTACTGACATCTGGGGTGGGACCATTCTATTGCTGGGACTGTCCTGAACATGTGAACTCATTTGGCTGAATCGCTTTATCCACCAGATCCCACAATGCTTACTTCCTCATGTGAAAATATTTCTTCTAACATTTTCCACCTGTCTTGAAAAGGACAGCCTGAGAAGTAACAGTAAACAATGAGAAAACATGTCGCTTAAAAATCCTTTTGGTGAAAATCTCATAGGGCTTTTTCGTAGAAGCATCTGCTTCTCCCTGGTTGTTGGAGGAATTCTACTGACACTGTACACAGTAAGGCTGACAGCTCTATTCTCTACACCCTCACTGCTGCCTACTAGCACCCTGACTACTAGTCAAATTTCTCCTCTGCAGAAACTGGCTGTATCTAAGATACTCTTCTGCTCCTTGAAGCTCCGCTCGGGCCCCGCTAAGCTTTTCAGCTGCCTTCCCTCGCACACCATCCTGCTCCCAGAACCTCCATTTGCTGACTGCAACAGATGTTTCTTGGACTTTCTCTACATTTCCTTTTTATGTATATTGGGGCTGGGGAAGTCATACCCGGTGACGCTCAGGGGTTCCTCCTGGCTCCACACTTAGGAATTACTCCCGGCAGTAATCGGGGAACCACATGGAATGCCAGAGATCAAAACCAGGCCGGCCATGTGTAAGGCAAACACCCTACTTGCTGCCTTTCCAGCCCTGTTTCCACATTTCTTATCCATGCTTTCCCATTTTTCCAGTCCCTCTTCTCTGAGTTACACTCTAGCGCAATTTCTCCAAAGGCACTGGAGAGAGAGAGAGAGAGAGAGAGAGAGAGAGAGAGAGAGAATATGTGTGTGTGTGTGTGTGTGTATCATTCCTCAGCCGGTTCCAATCTGCAACTTATTTGTTCAGACTTCCTTATTTCAACAATATTTAGGGGAAGAAGGGTTTCAGACATACCCATTTCTGACTCAGGGGATCTTTCTTGGCAGTGCCGGGGGACTAATGCAACACTAGGGATCAAACCCGGGTTGGCTGTGTACAAGGCAAGTGCTTTATCCCCTATATAATCTCTCTGGCGCCACCTTTCAACAATTTTAACTCATTTCAACAAGATCACTTGCTTCCTAAGAACTCAGATCTGCTTGGCTATCCCCACTAGCCAATTCCGTTCCGTGAAACACACGAGGCCCACAGCTAATCCTTTTCCTGGGTCCTGTGCCTGGGGATCTTCCACATTTGTAGCTTGCTTTTGTTTCAGGTCATGGCATCTTTGCTTTTTTCCATCACTGATTCTGGACTGTGCGTTAACAGCCCTTCATCTGCAATTGCCACAGGCCTAACCAGGGAACACTTTCCTCCAATTTGCATTTCCTTCTGAGGAAATGAGATGCGCCAAGGGGTCCCCGCATACAGTGTGATGGAAGAAGGGATCCCAGGCTGCTTTCCCCCACTTTGCAGCAGGGCAGAGAAATCCTCCCCTCGACAGACCTAGCAACACTAAGTGCAACCTCCCCAGGAGCCAGTTATCTAGAAGGGAGACCATTCATCAGTGCCCTGAACACCGGACTAAAAATCCTTTTAAAAAAGTCACCTCTGCGTGCATGTGATACAAAACTCACTGAGGAAAACAAACAAACAAAAAAGTCACCTCTGCATGCATGTGATACAAAATTCACTGAGGAAAACAAAATGACACACTGTGAGAACTCTGTACTAAGCAATCAGCCTCATCTTCAGGAGGCAGTTTCGGTGTTTCTGTTATTAACAGGGGTCACTGGAAATGACCACAGCCCTAGCAAAACCTCTGATCCAGACCTGCTGCCCCTAATGCACTGAATAATGTGTGAAGTGGACTTAATTAGGAGGTAGTGACAAAAATGGACAGCAAGTGTCCCTCTGCCACACCACCAGTCTTGGGTACATGAGGCAGGCAGTAATTCAAAGGCAACGAGGAAAGGTCGCTGACAGTCAGCTGCAGGAGACTGAGAGAACCCATCTCAATCATCCACTAGTGCCACCCAGAAGCAGGTCCTTCAGAAGCAGTTTTCAGGATGTGGGTCAAGGTCAGATTGGGGAGGGTGTGGGCAGGCTAGCAGAGTTGTAGCACTGTAATTGTTTTTTGGTTCCCACCCAGCAGTGCTCAGGGGTTACTCCCGGCTCTGCACTCAGGAATTACTGCTGGCAGTGCTCAGGGGACCATATGGGATTCCGGGAATCGAACCCTGGGCCAGCATGTCTAAGGTAAATACCCTATTGCTCCAGCACCCTGTACTACCTAATTTCTGACAAAATCTTAGGTTGTAAAGAGTATCAGGTGAGCCCTTTTTTTGGATGGGTGGGGCAAACCCAGCAGTGCTAGGTCTTATTCCTGGCTCTGTGCTCAAGGGTCACTCCTGGCAGGGCTCAGACGACCAGACGCAATGCTGGGGGCCAAACCCTGGTTGGCCACATGCAAGACAAAGCTGTACTGTCACTCTGGCCCCTCAGACAAGTATTCTAAACACATATAATTATAGATTATTTTTTATCATCAAGTATTAGATTTAAAAATACTAAGTATAGCAAAATGAACGACGGAGCCAGATGGACAGCTCAGTGGTCAGGGAGCTGTGCACACACTAGATCCAAGGCTGAACCCCAGCATGGCATGAGTGGCCCTGGTGTCACCAGCACTGAAGGGTCCGAGCAGCTCCGCATCCTCAGACCCTAGATTTAACCACCCAGTCCAGTTGGCTGAGTATTGCTGGGAGTGTATCCTCAGCACTGTTTGCATGAAAGAATCCAGAGTCAGCACTTCCCCCGGGAACTTCCACAGCTCTCCCTGTGTCAGGGCGCTGAAAAGACAAGAGAGACACAGAAACTTGGGATGAAGAACTGAGCTAAGGCACTTTGGCACATGCAAATGAGAAGGTAGTCTGAGTCGAGTGGCAAGAAGTCAACAGAAGATGATGAGATCCGAGGGACTGGAGATAGTAAAGCACTTGCCTTTGACCCCTGACACCCCATATGGCCCCAAGCCTGGCCAAGACTGAGCCCTGAGAAGAGACAGGAGTAAGGCCTGAGCACTTTTTGAGGAGGGAAGAAGAGGAGGAAGAAAAGGAGGGTGAGGAGGGGTGTGAGGGGAAGAAGGGGAGGAAGGTGACACTAGACAGGGCAGTTCCTGAGACAAGAGGGTCATGGGGTCTAGGCTGCTTTGTGCCTGAGAACACCTCATAACAGACCTATCTCTATTTCTTGTGCGTGTGTGCGTGTGTGTGTGTGTGTGTGTGTATGCAAGAGTCTCATATTACATATCGAGCAGCTGGGTTCCTGGGGCCAGAGAGACAGTGCAGTGGGTGGTTAGGGCGTTTGCCTTGTACACGGCTGACCCAGGTTCGATCCCCAGCATCCCATATGGTCCTCCAAGCACCTGCCAGGAGTAATTCCTCAGTGCAGAGCCAGGAGTACCCCTTGAGCACCATCAGGTGTGACCCAACAAAGCAAAGCAAAACAAAACAAAAAATGAAACTGGGGTCCTTAGATGGGGATCTAGACCCTCAAAACCTCCAGGTCCTCTGCTCCCCAAGTGGAGGGGAGGGTTTCAGTGTCACTGAACCCTACTGGTAGCCAATGGCTTGGACTCTTTTCTCACCACGCACAACAAAAATGAACAGAGCGCTCCTTGGAGCATCTCTATGCTTTCTCCCAAACCCTCCTAAGCAAAAGAATCATCACAGATTGCCTACCAAGGGGCAGACTCTGCCAGCGCAGTACTCACTCTGTGGGGTTGCAGTGGACACAACAGCCATGCCATGTGGGGCCATCCCGGAGGTGCCAGGGGGAGGTTGCCCTGACAGGGGCATTGGCTGCCCCATGGCACCAAGGCCTCCCATGCTGCCCAGGGACTGTCCTGGGCCCCGAGACGGCATGCCGATTCCAGCTGCTCCAGCAGGGGGTCCACCAGTCAGGCTCTGGAGCGCATTCATAGGGTCTGTGGGAACACAAGGGCACATTGTCTCAGAGCCACAAGCCAAATGAGGCTCTCAGCACACACACTTCCTTCTGCTGCAGGTGTGACTCCCTTAAGGCACCAAACTGCGAAGGGCCAGGGTCCTGGGAGCTTCCCAACACCTGCCAGAGGCCAGAAGAACGGGTGCCTAGCACTACTTAAGACTGACCTGTGTCAGGGTCCTAATACAGATAGACAAAGACGCCCTGGAGGGCCAGTGGTGGCACCTGACTCTCAAGGCTGTACACTCCTCCTGGTGGGTGAGACACGACCAGGAACTCAAAGACAATGAACTCGGGCCTTCCTCCAGGAAGTGTAGGGGCAGAGCTGAAGTGCTCCATGGGGGTGTAATCAGAACCCACTTCAGCAGGATCTCTGAAGGACCGCCACAGAGGAGTGCTCAGGACAGACCCTGGCATCCAGAGCCACCACACTGGAGCAACCTAAGATTTGCAGGAGGGAGCCACAGGCCACAGAGGCAGGAAGCTGCTCAGGCTGGCGAGCAGTGCCCAGGCCCAGAGAGGGAGCCTGAGACCGAGATCAGAGCATGAGAGCTCATGGTACAAGCTACCTGCTGAGACAGGTACGGCCCTCCCAGGGGAACCTTGCCACAGAACTGGGTGTCCACGAAACTTATGCTCCAATACCGAGAGTCTGGATCTGCCTCTGGCATGGACTCTATTGCAGCTGGCCAGCTGAGAATCACGGCAGCACACGGGTAGATGCGGACAGCTCGGCCGAGGCAAGCAGGACCACCCACAGCTCTGCTGCCAAGGCGAGACAACGAAAATCTTAAAAGTGAATTCACGGAGCTGGAGCAATAGCACAGCGGGTAGGGCGTTTGCCTTGCACACGGCCAACCCGGGTTCAATTCCCAGCATCCCATATGGTCCCCTGAGCACCGCCAGGGGTGATTCCTGAGTGCAGAGCCAGGAGTAACCCCTGTGCATTGCCAGGTGTGACCCAAAAAGCAAAAAAAAAAAAAAAAAAAAGTGAATTCACATGGCAGGCTAGATGGGGTTCCCTTCCTAATGACCATCTTCCAAACCCCTTTCACTGGCAGCTTGGTCAGCGAGACCAGGGCTGCCTTTTAGATAGATACCCTTGGGTAAAAAAGCTGTGAAATTAAAAAATAAGAGAGGGTCAGAGAGAGAGCTCACTAGTCTGCAAGCATGAGGCCCAGGACTGATCTTTAGCACTACTTGGTTGCACAACTTGGAGTTGTGCCAGGAGTGACTCCCAACCCCTGAGCTGAGAGTAGCCTCTGACAACACAAAAGTAAAACAAGGAAAAACAAAAAAAAAGACGAGGGGGGCGGGCAGAGAAATAGCTCAAAGGCTGGAATGTGTAGCTGGCTGACACATGGCCTGGGTGTGACTCGAGAACCAACACCATAAGGCCTCTGAGGCACTGTCAGGTGGAACCCTGGTGTGGGGAGGTCCTCACAAAAAAAAAAATAAAAGACAACAAAAATCTTAAAAGTGAATTCACAGCTATCTTCTAAGAAATACTACAGATTGTCATATAAAATATACCCTAATAATTCTCTTCCTGGATTTTTAGGTGATATCATACTCATTTATGAGTTTTTAAAACCTTTTTTTGGGGGGGCAAGGCAGAAAACAGTATTTAAAATGCAAGGAGATGGGGTTGTCTGACTGCATCATCTGACTGCAGCCTCTGCAAGGATGAGGAAGGATGTGGGAGAGAGGGGGAGGGAGGAAGAAGTGGGAGAGGGAGGGAGGGAGGGAGGGATGGCTATTCCGTTCTCACGACCAGAGTAATTCTTCCTGTGAACTTTTTCCTCTAGTGACAACCTGGGCACATGCAATATCCACAATCTCATTCTGGCTGTCTCAAATTCAAGGCTGGAAAAAATCTTGAATCAAAATGGAAAAACTCTTACCACTGACGGAAGCTTGAGATTTCTTGTTATCTATTGGGAAAAAAAACACACACATACAACCAAAGTAAACAAAGTTTTATATATAACTGCATGTTTCCACAGTAAGTCAGTTTTATAGGCATTTGCCTAGAGGTCGCTTGTTAAAACTACGCTCACCCTGCTGAGACCGTAACCAAAGACACCTCAGAGCAGACTGGGGGTGCGCTCATGGCAGCGCTGACACGGGGGGCCAGGGAGGAGAGGGTGTAGAACCACCCTGTGGTCAACGTGGGGCTTCTGAGAGCCACCCCACCCCCACCTTGACTGAGACCTCTCCAACTCTTCTTCTGTCCCGGATACAGGCCCTAAGCAGGTCCTGAGCAAGAAACGAGAGCTACAGAACTCTATACTGGGCGCAGAATGATGCTGAGAGCTCCAGTGCCTCCAGTTCCAGATCCCCATGTTCTAGAAAAGGAAACTGACACTGGCCAAGTCTGACTCCAAGACAAGCCCGCCTGGCCCTGGCACAGGGAGACAGCTCTGTGCTCTCTCAGTGAGTCAGAGAGATGGCCACGGACACCCTCCGCCCAACCCCAACATGCAGAGTTCTCTGTCAGGATGAACCAGGGAGGGTCACTGGAGGCTACTGGTTCTGGCTCCTCCTAGAGTGACATCAAGTGGAGTTCACCCTGCTGGCCATTTTGATAAAAGGTGAGCAAGGAAGTGATACCTAGGGGCGAGGGAGACGCAGAACAGGCAGGGAGCTTGCCTCGCCTATGGCCAACCTGGGCTCAATCCCCGGCACACCATATGATCCCCAACACCCCAGCAGGGACTCTGAGCACTGCCAGGTGTGGTCCAAAAAAAAAGACAAGACCAAAAGGGGGAAAAAAACGTGGTCATCTGCTGACCACATGGGAGCTCTGGGGCTCTCCTGGTGTCCTGTCATTGAAGACTGTTGACATGGAGGCCGTGTTGCCGCTACAGTCCCAGGCGAGCCGCGGCCGGCTTGCCAAGCGCCTTCTAGGGCAGGCTGCACCAGGAGGAGCCCATCTCCTGAGGGCACTAACTGCAAACAGGCAGGAGGCGCAGCTGCTGAAGCCAGGGCAGAACACACCCAGTTTCCCTTAGGGCTGGCGGCCATCCAGAACACTCTACTTGCTTATACACACAAGACCAGCAGAAACCCTGACCCGGTGACACATTCCCGTGGAGCTCCAGCTACTGCCAGGTCTGCCTGACAGAGCCACACGAGGACCCTCAGGATCACGGGAAGTGAAGTGGGCCAGGGCCCAGGTGGACTCAGGAAGTGGCCTTGGAGGCTCCGAGTATGACAGGAATACACAGTCAGGTCAGGCCTCCATGGGACAATAAAATCAAATAGGGGGAAGGAAGTTTGTGTTCCACAGTAAACTACTTATTTAAAAAGTGTCCGGGGATCAAAGCATCCGTCCTTTGAAAAAAGGTGATTAAATGAACAAGTAAAAAAAAAAAAAGGCAATCCAGTTTTGAAGACTTTGAAGCAAACATTCCCATTATGCCAAATTCAGTATTTTTGAGGCCTTATACCCAAAAGGTCGGGAACCATGGGAAAAAAAAGGAGAAACGATGAAGAATTCCCAGACAGCAGAAACATTCACACGAACATTCTGACCCAGGCACAGCAGCCAAGAAAGCCTGCCCTCACGGACAGGGCCAGCCTAGCGCGGTCACAAGCGCTCAAAAGGGGAAAATTGTACTTACGGATGTCTCGGAAATGGATGATGAGCCTGGCCACAAGAGAAAGGTACTCGTCCTACAAGTGAAAACAGGAAGCAATTGAGTTCCAGATGCAGAAAGAGAGGTGTGTGCCACCCCTCCCTGCGCCCTCACACTGCCCACCCCACCACTGAAGGCAGCCGGCTGAGTGTCGTCGTCGTCCCCCCCCCGCCCCTTCCACCTACCCACCGGAATCCATCTCTCAGAGAGAAGTTTTCAGTGCAGACCAACAAAAGGCAGGAAGGAATGAAAGGTTCCCGATGGCTGCCACTTCCACACTGGTACCAGCGCTCACCCTGACAGAAGTCAGCCAGCTCAGACCCGGTCCTTTCACAGAGGGGACGAGCGGATGAGGGGCCGGCAGGGCAGCCAGGCTTGCGGAGAGGAGGCGCAGGCCGCTTTTGTCTCTGCACTCTTTGTATCAAAGTACTTTCGCTTTTAAAGCTCCAGCCTGTTGCTTTCTCACTGCTGACGCTGTCTCTGCAAGCAGGGCTGGACCAGTGCCCTGGCGGTGCTCTTTCGGGAAGATCTCTGTCCATCTGAATTTGCAGCACAGTGCACAGGCAAGGGAGGAGGGCACAGTACCACTCACGGGTGGCAGGCGAAGGTCACTGCCTAGGGCCCTTACTGCCCAGGCTGCCATGTTCTGGGACTGCCTGACAGGGCCACCTCCCACTGACTTGTCCTCTTTGCAACCAAGGACACCTAACTCCAGGGAGTATTCCCCATGGTCAAGGAGAGACCATGTGAGCTACAATCTAACTCCTGGGAATCTGAATACCCTTGTTATGGCCAGGCAGCTCCCTTGCTCTCTTCCTGCTCTCAGAGCCCTCCTGCGACAGGAGTAGGCAGGCTGACGCATGACACCCACACCACCCCGCTGGTCGGGGTTACCCTGGGGGCACAAGCCTACAAGCTCTGGGGGAAATACCGAAACTATCAGGAGAACATAGCCTGGGAAAAGAAGTAAAATGGAAGTCTCGGAGCAGTGGGAAGCTAGACAAGAGGGAGTGTTGATAGCACTTCTTAGTGGGGGGCTGGAACTCGAGTATAGCAGGTGGGGCACTTGCCTTGCACATGGCGGACCCAGGTTCAATCCCCAGCATCCCACATGGTCCTCCAAGTATCAGTGAGAGTCTTTCCAGAGCCAGGAGAGGCCGCAAGCATTGCTGGGTGAGACTTCAGGAAATCTCCTAAACCTTTGTCAGCCCATACCTATCTCCAAACTCCACTCCATCACTTTATCCTTTGGCCAGGGAACGGGCAGAGGAGTGAGTGCATAGAAAGGCAAAGTTGAGTGACGACATGCAAAGGCAGCAGAAAGAGGGAGAAGGAGGCTCTGGGGAGCAAAGGGGCACTTAAGAAGTCCTATTTATTTTTATTGGGGGGCGGGTCACACACAGGCCAGAGTAGGTGGTGAGGTGTTTGCCCTGCAGACATGAGGCCCCAGATTCGAGTTCCAGTACCATCCATATGCCAAGTGCAATCCCAACAAGAGGTCATTTGACATCCCTGGTGCTGGTGCCAAAAGTGTGCAATCTCCAGTGTGTGCAGGCTCATCCCAGCAGGCACCACGATCAAGTGTGCCAACGCTGCAACCAACCTGAACCATCGCCCCCCCCCAAAAAAAAAAACCCAGGAGGGAAGAATCTGTGTCTTCTACATTTTCCTAAGAGGTAAGAGGAACAGATGTAAAAGTGACCAGATATTATGTACTTGGGTGAGGGTGATGCTCCCAAGTGGTGCTCAGGAGGCCCTGGGACCCCTCCTGGTGATTCCTGACCAATCAGGCCAGTGGACTGTAATGAGGGCCATATACGTGATGATGCTCAGGCCCTGTGATGCTGTGGGCCTCCAGCGTACATGAAAGGTACATGACTGACTCCCTGCACTATCCCTCTGGCCCAGTGACCGGATACTTTTCCTCAGACAGTCAGTGAGGCTTGGAGGATGCCTCCAGAGTACCCCTGCACAGAACACAACCGAGGGCGCAGCGCCGGAGGGGCAGATGTCAGCAGAGCAGGTGGACCAGCGCCATAACTCCTGGCTGTGGCTGCCTGTGGACTGGGGAGGAGGGGAGGAAAGTGGTCATAGAACAGGGAAGCGGGCGCAGAAAGCAGTCACACTGCCCCCAGGAGAATGTCCTGTGGGTTAAACACAGCTCTGAAATTCTCACACCAAGGTCAGGTCACTGGGGAACACTTGAGGCTGAGTCCCGTGGGTCTGCTGCAAGAACTTACTGAAGACCACAGGACTCGCTCCCCTGAGATGACGCTTTGCTCTCCGGGTTCCTAATTGCCCTTGCTGATCTGGCTTCCTGATTGGACTAATTCCCAGCCGCAATCTACTCAGGTTTTGGTAGACTTCCGCTTCAAAAGCACTCCAAATTCCTTGCGACTGCTCCAGAAAAATGGTTTAGGATTATAGAACCTCCCTATTGCCACTCAATCTGTACCACCTGATATTTTTTTTTAAATGAAATATCCACGGGGATTGGAGAGACAGTATAGCAGATAAGCATGTGATGTGCTCCATCCCAGAGTTCTTCTCTGGCCCTCCACCTTATCTTCTGCTTGAAAATGGAGAATTGGGGCTGGGAGACAGTATCGTAGGTAGGGCTCTTGCCTTGCACACAGCCAACCCTGGTTTGATCCCTGGTACCAGATATGGTCCCCTGAACACTGCCAGGAGTGACTCAACCATCCCCCCCCAAAAAAAATAGGGGGAAAGGAATCAGAATACATATATTCGCTTTTAGCTACAAAAAGAAACACCAAGAAGCTAAGGAGATCGCTCAATGGGCCAGAGTGCATGCCTGCATGCTTGAATCCTAGGTTCAAATCCTGACACTATAGGATCCAAGCACCACCAGGAGTAGCTCTGGAGCACTGCCAAATATGGGTCCAAAAAAAGGAGAGTGGGGGAGAAAACATCAGGCAGATAAGCCAAATTAGTAGATCAGCAGTTACCCCAGAGGCTTCCCATCTGTGCATTCCACACCAGAGGAGAGTTCTCTGACCACTAAGAGAGAAGACAGCACCAACTCTGAGTATGGCAGATGAGTGCACACACCCTTGGGTCACCCCAAGGAGGGGAGGAAGAGAAAAGGAGTGTTTGTAAACTAAAGGGAATAATGCAAAGATCTTACATTTTATTTCACATTCTAATTTTACTTACACTAGTGGTAATATGGGGGGGAGAGGTTGTTGCTGTTTTTCGTTTTGGGGCATGCTCGGGGGTTACTCCTGGCTCTGCGCTCAGAAATTACTCCTGACAGTGCTCGGGGGGACCATATGGGATGCTGGAGATTTAACTCAGGTCAGCCATGTACAAGGCAAATGCCTTATCCCCTGTACTACCTCTTCGGCCCCAATATTGACCTGTTTATTCTCAATGAGTCTTATTATAACTGGGTTTGGGGCCATACCTGACAGTGCTCAGAGCTTACTCCTGGATCTGCACTCCGGGAACCAACATGGGAAGCAGGGGTCTGAATTCAGTCAGCCACATGCAAGCCAAGCACCATACCTGCAGTACCAGCTCTCTGGCCCAAGCAAAAGTCTTTTTTTTTTTTTTAATCCAAGCAAAAGTCTTATAAGGATAAATGTGATTTAGAAATGTCAGTGTAAAATTATAGAGGTTGCTGTTATTTCAAAATTATGATTTCTTCCCTCTGTTCACAAAAAGGCACAGAAGTCAGAGCAGCCGAGAGCCCACGCTGAGCACATGAGCTTCTACTTCTTTTTTGTTTTTTAGGTTACAGGCGGTAGTGCTGAGGGCTTACTCCTGTCTCTGTGCTCAGGGTCACTCCCAGCAGGGCTCAGGGGAATAAGCAGTACTTGGGGTCAAACCCAGGTTGGTTGCATGTGAGGCGAACACCCCAACCTCTGGACTAACTCTCTTAAACTGTAACTAAACACAGGATCACAAAAACAAACAAAAAAAAAACAAAACAAAAAACAACAACAACAACAAAAAACAGAAAAGCTACATTAACAAAAAGCATCTCAAAGCTCAATGGCCAAAAAGTAAATGCTTAATTCAATGCTTAATAAACCTGAAGTGCTTCAGGTGGAGCTCACTCGTATTTCATTGCTAGGGAGAAAAGGGATCAAGTGAAAAAATTAAAACAGCACTGTTCTGATTAAACATTTCATTCTAAAAAGGAACCAGGAGTGCCTTCTGAGTGCAGTACCTGTGTCTTATAAATGGGAACCAGTAAGGGCCAATTCTGCCCTGAAAGCGAAACAACTTGGAGCCACTAGAGAGTTGCATTAAGAGGCACCAAGAGTAACAGAAAAGGAGAACAAACACACCTCCTATGGCCAAAGAGATAGTACAGCAGGTGGAACACTTGCCTCGCACACAGTAGACCGAGCCAACCCAGGTTTGATCCCCAGCACCCATATGGTCCCTCAGGCCCAGCAGCAGTGATGCCTGACTGCAGGACCAGGAGCAATTCCTGAGCACTGCTGAATGTGGCCCAAAAGCAAACAAAAAACCAAACCTCAAGACCAACAACAAAAACCGCTTCTTTACAATATCTATTAAATACAGAAAGCCAGAACAAGTAATACTTTGAAATTCCCTTTTAAAAGATGGAACCATGCAGGCCAGAGAGACACACAGGGACTGAGGTGCTTGCTTGTCTTGAATGCGACCAAACCCAGTTTGATCCCCAGCACCAATTATGGCCCTCTGAACACTACTGGGAATGACCCTCTGAACAGAAGCCAGGAGTAAGCCCGGAGCATCATGAGACATAACCACACGCCCACCCCCCACCAAAAGAAAAGATGAAGTATCCAATGACAATCTATACAAGAGCAGAGCCATGGACCAGAGAGAGCGCCCAGTGGGGCGGAGTGCCAGCTTTGAATGTGGGCGCCCCTCTCTCCACACTGTACCGTCCCTCAAGCAGTGACCCAGGTATAGCCCGAGGGCACCACCAGGCAAGTCCAAAACCAAAACCAAAAGAGGTGGGGGTGGGCTGAAAAGATAGTATGGTGGGTGGGGCAAGCACCTCTCCTGCACTTG